GTTACCTAGCTTGGTAACGAAACATTCAGAAACCAACCCGCAAGCTCAGAGGACCAACCCTCACCCTCATCCTACACCCAAGCTACAGATATTCGCCACTATTGCAAAGCTACATAGGTGTCCAACGCAGAAGTGGGTTTCAGCAGATTCTGACCAGTTCTGGAGAACCGGTAGCAGAAATTCTGAGTAGTTTGGAGAACCGGTAGTAAAAATTCTGACTGGCCCCGCCCCTGTCTATTCTCTGCCTCCCAAGTCCCAGCTGATTGGGAGAAAATGGGGATTTTGCACTGGAGTGGAGCTGGAATTGAGATTTTACAGTGTCCTTCCCCTGCCACGCCCACCAAGCCACGCCGACAGAACCGGTAGTAAAAAATTTTGAAACCCACCACTGGTCCAACGCTTAAACTTGCTCGCCGCTGGGAGACTTTCTCTGGGAGACGATTGGTGACCCACGAACAGCTACATTTCCTCCAAGAATGAATACCATCACTGATGTGTGCAAATCTCCAGTCACCTGTCATCCGATTTTGACTACTGGTGACTGCTTGGACTAGTCCCTGCATTTTTCTTGGCAAGATTTCAGAAGCGGCTTGCCATTGCCTTCTTCCTAGGACTGAAAGAAAAGGACTGACCCAAGGTCACCCTGCTGGTTTTGGGCCTAAAATAGGACTAGAACTCCCAGTCTCCCAGTTTATAGCCACTACAAAGAAGTAGCTCATAGGTTTGCATGTCCTGGTTGAATTTCAGAGCCCGTAGAAGTATTTGTGAGCCAGAGGCACCTGAATATGAGCTCTGGGCCCTGGGAATCAACTGCTTCAAGCAATGATTCAACAGAAGAAGCTGTTTGAGTTGTGCTGTCAATTTTTGCTGTGTTCAAGGATTTCCGTGTTCATTTATTTATTTATTTTATTTTATTTATCAAATTTATCAAATTATTTATCAAATTTCTATACCGCCCTACTCCCGGAGGACTCAGGGCGGTGAACAGCCAAGATAAAATACAGATAATACAAACATTAAAAGTCCCTTAAAATTATTAAATATTTTGGCCGAAACACAGATTAAAACACCCAATTTGTAAAACAAATCAAACGATTTAAAAATTTAGAAGGGAGAGTTAGGCCTTAACTCTATATTATATCATATTTTGGGAGTCTGGCTTGATGGCCTCTGGAAGGCCTAAGGAGATGCGAAGCACCTGTGCCCCTTCTTTCTCTCCCTTCTTGACCCTCCATCCCAGCCTGCCCAATACTGTTGAGCAACTGTAGCTGTGACAAAGTACCTTGGTTGATTGTAAGTCTCTGTCTTTCAAAACAATTTCTTTTTGATGGGATTCTCCTTGTGGAGATCCACCCACAATCATTACTAATAATACTAATAAACTTCAGAGCTGTTGCTATGTCTCCATTTTGATTTGTAGGAAGTTAGCACCCACCCCTCTCCTAGAAGAATGAAATGTTTTAGGAAATATTAAAAAGGCAGAATATTTTTCCCTGGATGAGAAATGGAGAAACATGTTTTAAAGACAAAGCAGCTCCCACCTTCCTGCCCCCCCTCCCTTTGTCAATGGGCCAGAGGCAGAAACCTAATCCCCCCCCACTTTGTCAATGGACCATCATCTGCAACACAATAGGACCCATCTAGCAACAGAAACTCACCACAGGGCACCTGGGAAGATTATATCAGACAACAAGGCTGGCTAAGACCCCCACCCTCTGGGAGTCTGACAACCAATCAGGATACTCTTCCTGTGCCCCAGGAAGTTCAAAGCTCAGAGAGGGCATAAAACCAAGGCACATTCAGCATCTCGACCCTTTTCTGTTCAGGAACTCAAACCATGTCATCCTGTCCGCCATTAAACCATCTTTCCAAGCAGTATTCATGTTTCCAGTGTCTTTTTCCCCACTTGGAGATGAACCCAGAAGGATATTTCTTCCAACAGATCCAAGCAGACTTTCATCAGAGAACAATTGCACAATTCCTTCTGCTTTAAAAACGGATGGAAGTAGAATGGAAACATCCAGGAATTTTAAAAGCAGAAATCTTGGTTTCTTATCTCATATGGCCTTTTTAAAACTGGTAAAGCTGATAGGAACAGCCAACATCACAGAAGACAAGCTCAGGGTCCAAAAAGATCTTGACAGGCCTAATCAATGGGCCCTATCGAACAAAATGAAATTTAATGTGGAGAAAAGAAGGTTTTACACTTGGGCAGGAAAAACCAAAGATACAAATACAGATTAGGCGAAACCTGGTTCAAAAACAGTAACTGTGAAAGGGACCTTGGAATCCTTGTGGACGATCACTTAAATATGAGCCAGTAGTGTGTGGCAGCAGTCAAAAAAGCTAATACAATCCATGGTTGTATAAACAGAGGCATAGAAGCAAAATCACGTGAAGCATTAGTACCACTTTATAAAGCCTTAGTAAGACCACACCTGGAATACTGCATCCAATTTTGGTCACCGCATTACAAAAAAAGTGCAAAGAAGAGCAACTAAGATGATTAAGGGACTGGAAATGGAAACATATAAAGAACCGTTGCAGGAATTGTGTATGTCTAGTTTGATGAAGAGAAGGACTAGGGGAGACATGATAGCAGAATTCCAATATCTCAGGGGCTGCCACAAAGGAGAGGGAGTCAAGCTATTCTCCAAAGCCCCTGAAGGCAGGACAAGAAGCAACGGATGGAAACGAATCAAGGAGAGAAGCAACCTAGAACTCAGGAGAAATTTCCTGACAGAACAATTAATCAGTGGAACAACTTGCCTCCAGAAGTTGTGAATGCTCCAACACTGGAGGTTTTTAAGAAGAGATTGGACAACCATTTGTCTGAAATGGTATAGGGCCGTGATGGCGAACCTCTGGCACGCGTGGTGGCATGCAGATACCTCTCTGTGGGCACATGAGCTGTTGACCCAGTTCAGCTCTGCCATGCATACCAGGCCGCCTCTCATCAGCCAGCTGGTCATCGGTCTCTGCCGCACATGTGCAGGGGGGCGGGCATGTGGGGGGGGGCATGTACATGGGTGGGACATATGCCAGGGTGAGCATGCGCAGGGGATGGGGTGCGTGCAGAGGGCTGCATGCATACACAGGGGGTAGGTCGCATGTGGGAAGCCGTGGGCACATGCTGAGGGTGGGGCACATGCATGCATGTGTGGGAGGGGGCAGCATGTGTGGGGGGGTGCATGTGTGGGGTGTGGCGCATGCACGGGGCAAGCACATTGCATTTTGGGGGTTCGGGCACACGCGCGCATACGCTTTGGCTACTCAGTCCGGAAAAGGTTAGCCATCACTGATATAGGGTCTCCTGCTTGAACAGGGGGATGGACTAAATGAGCTCCAAGGTCCCTTCCAGCTAGCTCTTATTCTGATTGATTGAGAGTCTCCACAGAGATCTTTTTTTCCAATGGAAAATGAGCCTTGGTGCCGCAGGAGACTAAAGTGCTGTTAAAGTAGCACTTAAGTTGCCAGCTGCCTGCAATTACTGCGAGTTCAAATCTCACCAGGCTCAAGGTTGACTCAGCCTTCCATCCTTCCGAGGTAGGTAAAATGAGGACCCGGTTTGTGGGGGCAATAAGCTGACTTTGTATAAAAAAGAACACCGCTTGGGGAGGGGGGCGAAAGCGCTACTAAGCAGGTATATACAAAAGTATGAAGGCTATTGCTTAATGCATTGTAAGCCGCCCTGAGTCTCTGGAAAAGGGCGGCATATAAATCGAACCAATAAACAATAATAAACAATAATGTCCCCAAAAAATCAGATAGTTCTTAGATATTAAAGGTGGTTGGTCATCACCTTTAAAGCGCTCCATGGCATAGGACCCGGGTACCTTCGAGACCGACTTCTGCCACCAACAGCCTCCCACCAGCCAGTTCGCTCCCACAGAGAGGGTCTCCTCAGGGTGCCATCTGCCAAGTTATGTCGGTTGGCAACACCCAGGGGGAGGGCCTTCTCTGTGGGAGCCCCTGCCCTGTGGAATGAACTGCTCCCGGAAATACGTAAGATCTCCGACCTCCGTGTATTTCGCTGTGCCCTCAAGACCCTGCTGTTCCGCCAAGCCGGGCTATCAATTTAATGATTTTTTTAAATTGGGTTTTAAATTTTGGGGGTTTTAAATTTCAGCCAAATTGTGTAATAATTTTAATTATTTTTAACTGATGTTTGTCTGTGTGTTTTTTAATAGGCTGTACACCGCCCTGAGTCCTTCGGGAGAAGGGCGGTATAGAAATAAAATTATTTATTATTTATTTATTTATTTTTATTTATTTATTTATATGCCGCCCTTCTCCGGAGACTCAGGGCGGCTTACAATGCGTTAAGCAATAGCCTTCATCCTTTTGTATATTTATACAAAGTCAGCTTATTTCCCCCACAAACTGGGTCCTCAATTTACCTACCTTAGAAAGGATGGAAGGCTGAGTCAACCTTGAGCCTTGGCGAGATTCGAACCTGCAGTAATTGCAGGCAGCTGGTCTTAATAACCAGCTTAATAACAGGGTGCCTTAGACCACTGTACTACCAAGGCTCTATTATTTATTAATAACAGGGTGCCTTAGACCACTGTACTACCAAGGCTCTATTATTTATTTTTTAAATTTTAAATGTTTTAATTGGTTTGTATTTTTAATTTTGGGCCAAATTTATATATATTTTTAATTGTTTTTTAATATTTGTATTTTATGTTTTATATATATATATATATATATATATATTAAAAAGAGGAACATCTAGTATGCTGCCTGCTGGAGACAGCACCACCTCTTGAGATAAACCATGTCAGAGCGGGGCCCTTTTCTTCTACTCCAGTGCCCATCATCCCAGGAACGCATGGAACATGATCTCTTCTCCCCTTGCAGTCATTCTGGCATTACGGGCAGAATCCAGCAGGGGGCTCCCTCGGCAGCTGTTGGGAAAAAATTGAGCACCCCCCACCCACCCCCGCTTCAGAAAGGAACTGAGCATGCGCCTGGCTCTTAGACAGGCTTGGCGGCAACGAGGCAGGGATCTTTTCTGCAGACTCCCCGATTTTGCTCCCCCGTCGCCCTGAGGCTCAACCTTTCCAGCGGCTGCAGGGCAGTTTGCCGCGAATGGGAGATCCCGGATCCCAGACGTGAGTGGGAATCTCTGCAGCTGGAAGCCTTGCATGGAAACCAGTAGAACTTCATACGGGTTCGGAGCCGTGGGAAGGGGAGGGGAAGCCCGTGGCCCCATGTTCCCCTGCCGCCGCTGTGCATGCATGGGCCAGGCAGCGTAGAAAGCAAAACCCCGGACCCGCCTAGTTGCCCCCTGAGGTGGGGAGGGTGGGGAATCAAGATCGCCAGAAATCCCAAAAAACCAGGATCGCCGCGATCCCAACGAAACGGGAGCCATTTATCCATCCGTTCCGTTGGAAAAACAAAACAAAACACCCGCATTCGGGGTGGGGGGGGAAGAGAGGAAGGCTTTCCCAAAACCGAGATATTCGTGCCTCCCGAGTCAGTCTTGACTCCTGGGACAATTTCCAGCGGTCCGAGTCCCTCCTGCTGGCTTTTGCATTGGAAGGCTGGAATTCCGTGTGCAAGGAGTTGCGTGCAAAGGAATTGTGTGCAGAGACTGGAAATCGGGGTTTCCTGCTCCCCCCCCCCCCCGCTGTCACCAGCCGGCAGGTAAATAAGGAAGCTGTTGCAGAGCGGAGGGGTGAGCCTGCGGCTGAGGTGGGTCATTCACACACCTGTGTGATCGATTAGTTTGTTTTGTTTTGTTTTGTTAAGCTTGGCCAGTGTTAAGGCCCTGGAGTTTAAGACCACACATCTTCAATTGGACTATTTAATTAATTAATTAATTAATTAGTTAGTTAGTTAGTTAGTTAGTTAGTTAGTTAGTTTGATTTATATGCCGCCCTTCTCCGGAGACTCAGGGCGGCTTACAATGCTTTTAAGCAATAGCCTTCATACTTTTGTATATACCTGCTTAGTAGGGCTTTTGGGCCTCTCCCCCAAGTGGTGTTCTTTTTTTTGTTTGTTTGTTTGTTTTGGGGGGCAATAAATCAGCTTATTGCCCCCACAAACCAGGTCCTTTTACCTACCTCAGAAGGATGGAAGGCCGAGTCAACCTTGAGCCTGGTGAGAATTGAACTCTCAGTCATTGCAGGCAGCTGGTAGCTAAATACTACTTTAACAGTAGGTTAGTCCGCTGCACCACCAGTGCAGGGAAAGCAGGTTTTCTAAGGATGTGCCTGAATCAAAACATTGTGTTAAAGCAGGGGTCTCCAACCTTGGCCACTTTAAGCCTGGAGGATTTCAACTCCCAGAATCCCCCAGCTGGCTGGGGGATTCTGGGAGTTGAAGTCCGCCAGGCTTAAAGTGGCCAGCTGGGGGATTCTGGGAGTTGAAGTCCGCCAGGCTTAAAGTGGCCAAGGTTGGAGACCCCTGTGTTAAAGCATAGATGGGGGTTTGGTTGGGTTTTTCACTTGGATACGTTCTGTATGCCTTGGATGTTGGTTTGTTCATTTTGGCTTCTGGAGTTCACCCAGGGGTTTTGGGCCAGGAGGTTAATGGGGTTCTGCTACTTTTCAAGCTTTCCTAGAACTTCAATTGCTGATCGATTTCCTTCTTAAATCAATTTAGATAGCCGCTCGGTGTTTGTGATGTCAGGCATTTTGATTTGGATTGCGCCAAGATAATTTTAAGCTTTACAAACAGCCGTTCGAATAAATCATTCGGAAGCAGAAATCCAAAATATTATAATGCGTTTATTTAGTATTTTGATGACCCTCATAGAAGCCGATACAGAAGGCTCATTGGAATCGGTGAGGGGTCATTGGTGCTCTCTGAGCTCTCTTGCTTACCCTAACTAGGTAACATCATCAGTACTAGTAAGGAGTGGGGTTTTGCTGTCAGTTTATACCTGGGGTCTCCAAAGTTGGCCACTTTAAGACTTGTGGACTTCAACTCCCAGAATTCCCCAGCCAGCATGTGAGTTGAAGTCCACAAGTCTTAAAGCGGCCAACTTTGAAGACTCCTGGTTTATACGGTATTCTGGTGTCTTGTCTGCGTGGGTCATAAGAGATTCTTTGGTTAGGGCTCTTCGGCAACCTTGGGGCATTGTTCAAGTGATTGTTGATCTGAAGTTGACATTGGAGTTAAATCTATGCTGATCTGGGTGCTGATTCCTGGTGCAGAGGTGCTGGAGTCTTTTTGCTCTCTTTTGGGCTGGTTGATGGTCTCTTTTGCATAGTCCATAGATGTTGTTAATCTCTAATGTGTCTATTGATGGCTGATTTGTCAGAGTGCCAGGCTTCTAGAAATTCCCTGGCATTTGGGGATTTGGCCTGGTCTAGGATTGACACCTTTTCCCAACTTTGAAACTATGGTTAAATCTGTCTATTTGTTGTGAGATGAAAGAATGTCCGTCATGTCTTCTGACTGCCAGTTGGTGTTCATGGATGTGTTCTGCCAGTCTTCTGCCTATTGGTCCTACATGATGGTGGTTGCAGTTCTTACGTTGTATGTTGTAGCTCAGGGGTCTCCAACCTTGGCAACTTTAAGACTTGTGGACTTCAACTCCCAGAATTCAGGGGAGTCTCCAACCTTGGCAACTTTAAGACTTGTGGACTTCAACTCCCAGAGTTCCTCAGCCAGCTTTGCTGAGGAACTCTGGGAGTTGAAGTCCACAAGTCTTAAAGTTGCCAAGGTTGGAGAGCCCTGTATGGATGACTCCTGTTTTTTTCTTCTGGCGTTACTGGGTCTTGGTTTGCTTAGGAGGTTTTGAAGGCTTCTAAAGCCCTCATTTCAACCCTAAACTACAAATATTCTTTTTAACAGAGTTGGAAGGGACCTTGTAGGTCATCTAGTCCTCCTTTATTGATAGATAAGTCAATCTTCATAATACGATTCCTGCCTTCTTCCCATACATCGAGGGTTTAGAGACAACTAGAGACAAGAACAGTTTTTTCCCGAACGCCATCACTCTGCTAAACAAATAATTCCCTCAACATTGTCAAACTATTCACTAAGGCTGCATTACTATTACTATTAATCTTCTCATCGTTTCTTTCACCCATCTCCTCCCACTTATGATTGCATGACTGTAACTTGGTTGCTTGTATCCTTACGATTGGTATTGTTTCCTAGTATGATGTGATTGCTTATTTGTACCCTATAACTATCATTAAGTGTTGTGATTCTTGACGAATGTATCTTGTCTTTTTATGTACACTGAGAGCATATGCACCAAAGGCAAATGCCTTGTGTGTCCAATCACACTTGGCCAATAAAGAATTATTATTATTATTATTATTATTATTATTATTATTATTATTATTATTATTACTATTACTATTACTATTACTATTACTATTATTCTTTAATCTTTAGTGAGATTCACAGCCTTTGAGGCTGGTTAATAACTCAGCAGCTCGAGTCCTAACCAAGGCCCTTGGAACTGTTAAGGTATCATCGGAGGATGTAAGCTGTTCCGAGTAAGTTGGTTTTTTGGAGAGTCAAAATGTTCAAGTCCAGTAAATTTAGAATTTCTAAATAGCGGGGTAGCCCTTTGGGTATTGCTCCAAGGGTTCCAATTACAATCGGGACAACACATGATTTCTTTTTCCACACTCGCTCAACTTCAATTTGCAAGTCCCGGTACTTTATGATTTTTTTCTTGCTATTTATCTTCAATCCGTGCATCACCAGGTATTGTAATATCAATGAACCATATTATGTCTGGTGTGTTGTGGACCAAGTGCCTGTCAGTCTGAATCCTAAAGTCCCACAAGATCTTGAGTTTCTCATTCTCTAAAACTTTCTCAACCTGATGTTCCCAGTGGGTTTTGCTGTACTCAAATCCAAACTTCTGGCACAATTTCCAGTGAATGATCTTAGCAACACAGTCATGGCATTGTAGGTAGTCAGTTTGTGAAATTTTGCTGCACCCACTGATCAGGTGGTCAACTGTCTCCTCTTTCTCATTGCAGAGGCGGCATTTGCTGTTGGTGGTAACATGTTGAATTTTTGCCTTCATGCAGTTTGTGGCTAGGGCTTGTTCTTGAGCTGCCAAAATAAAGCTTTCTGTTTCTTTTTTTCAGTACTCCTGATCTTAACCAGTTCCAAGTTAGTTTCTGGTCAGATTTGTCTTCAATACTTTTCAAGTATTGGCCATGCAGAGCTTTGTGTTTCCAATTTTCAGCTCGCTGCTCAATTACTTCTTTCTTATATTCTGCTTTTGTTTTAGTTGTCTTTAAAGGCCTCCTTTATTTACTTCCTTAATCATTGGTTCTTCACTTTTCTGGATGTAATCATTCAAGCTGCATTTTTCTTCTTCCACAGTCTGCTTTACTTGTAGGAGTCCTCGACCACCCTCTGCTCTTGGTTGTTGTTGTTGTTGTTGTTGTTGTTGTTGTTGTTGTTGTTATTATTATTATTATTTTGAGGGTTTATAAAAATTCCTTTTTTCATTTTTATTTATTTTGGAGAAGGATACTCCGTAGTTAATTTACTCATCCTATTGAACATCCTGTGTTTTCCATTTCAGATATGTAACTTGGAAATCTTTCTTGATTACACTGGAGACTGAAGTATCTCGTGTGGGAAGAGGGCTGAATGACCCTGGCAGTTTTGGCCAGATCTCTTCTGATTACTAAGATTTGTGGAGATCCATCACTCATTTTGGAGCTGGATTAGACACCAGAGAGAAGATGGAGGGCCAAAACCCACCAGATGCAGGAGTTGGAAAAGTCCCTCCAGTTACTCAGCCTTGGGGCTGTGGGAAGAATGGGGCAAGTCCTGGGCAAAAGAACCATGAAGAGGCATCCAATCGTTCAGAGGTCCAATGTTGTCACTTCAGAAAACTGCAATTCAAGGAGGGGAGGGGTCCCCGAGATGTTTGCAGTCAGCTTCACCGCCTTTGCTGTCAGTGGCTGCAGCCGGAAAGACACACGAAGGCTCAGATGCTGGACCTGGTGCTCCTGGAGCAGTTCCTGGCTCTCCTTCCTCCAGAAATGGAGAAATGGGTGCGAGAATGTGGAGCGGAGACTAGTTCCCAGGCAGTGGCCCTTGCCGAAGGCTTCCTCCTGGCCCAGGAGTCAGAAAAGATGCAGGTATGCAAATGTAATCATTTCAGCTCTAAAGAGAATCTCTCCGAATTCGTCAATTCCTTTTCTGGGATTATTAATACCTAAAGCCAGTTGTTTTATTCTTCCAGAGGATGAATTTGGGGCAGTTTTTCAATTCTTTCTTTCCAGGGTAACCGATGGACATTGGGGTCGGTCGGATAGGTTCAGTGTGCCATATGATAATTCATTTCTATCTTTGTACTCTTCCCTTCTTTCTTGTGCCATATCATATCTAGAAGTCCTTGGAAGATGTAACTGATTGTCCCAAAGAGAAGAAAGATTCATCCAAGCCCTCTCAAGAGCTGCAATTCAGAGAGAAAGTTAAAAGTCTTACCAAGCCAGGTAACAGAAGCTCCTCCCATGTTGATGTGAAGTTTGTATATCTAGTTGATTCTTTTGCTCCTCTTGATTGTAACCTCTCTGTTTAACAAATATCCGTCCGCCATTTTCTGCCTCACAGAGAATAGAAACCTATCCATGGTTTTTTTAGAATCGCCGCCTCTTTCTGGTGGAGCTGAAAGAGTGCTTGAACCTCTGGCTCAGGTAGGAGAAATATTGATAAATATCCATGAATCTTGGATGAGTTACATTTTGTTCTGGAATTCAGTGTATAATATTGCTGTTTCTAAGCAACTCAAATATTGTAGATCGGAACATTTACTCTGCTTAACCTACCTGTCCTTCCTGTTAAGCTTTCTCCACCCTCCTGCTTTCAGGCTCAGGTTTCATTAACCAGATGTTATCTCAGCTGGAAATCTTCCTTCTGTCTTCCACTGTCATTCTCACATACCAATACAAACTCTCCCACTACTTTCATTAAGATGTGGAATGGGGAGAAGAGTTAATCCCCCAATGGATAAAGCAGGATTCTGGCAGAAATATGAGAGGGATTTCCCCTGTATTTCATTCTGCCCACCCTAGGAAGAATTAGAGCCATTGATATTTAGTGGGTTTTAAGACCCAAAACTACCAATTGACCGAGGAAACTATTTTAGTTGGCCTCACTGAAAGGCATTCCGAGTCCTTCCAACTTGAACAAATGTGCTTCAGTTGTGCCGTCAGTCAAAAGCGGTGAGATCTCATTCTGAATTCTGATCAAGATATGCCCATTGTGTTCACTGGATCTCTCTCCTTGAATTGGTGGAAGAAAACTGTCAAATTGTTTTTGGGATTATCTGTTAATAGGGAAACTTTTTTCCTTGTTCAGGATGTTGTGTCTTTGGAGGAAGTGGTCGTGTATTTCTCCAAGGAGGAGTGGTCTCAACTGGATGCTGACCAAAAAGCTCTCCACGGAGAAGTCATGCTTGAGAATTCCAGGAATCTGTTTTCTCTGGGTAAGAACCCCTGTCTATGATAAAAAGTAAAGAAGAAAGTGGCGGCTTATTTATTTCTGATAAAAAATTATCTTTTGTTTATTTATGAATTGCCTTTATTATTTTTTGTAAATAACTCAAGGCAGCGGACATACCCAATATACTTTCCTCCTGCAATTTTCCCTACAACTACAACTCTGTGACATGGGTTAGGGCTGATACAAACTGGCCCAAAGTGACCCAGCCAGCATGCATGCTTAAAGCAGAACTAGTATTATCAGTCATTCAGTTTCTGACCTGCTATCTTAATCATATTACCAAATAGCTGTCAGGGCTCCAAGTAATGCATCCACAACAAGGAGAACTCTGAGGCAGGCATTTTCCTCAAAGAACAATTTATTGGGATATATCCAGGGGTGAAATCCTCTGAAGACTGCTACCGCTTCTGTGAGTTTGCTACCGAGCGTGTGCTTCGCTAAAAAAGGACCATTTTGAAGCCTTCCAAGTCTGCAAAGGTAAGTAGAACAGTGTGGGGGGGGGGGGGGGAAATCCACTGTGCCACACGATTTCGATTAACTAGAAAGCAGGAAATCCGACGATTCTAGCTAATATAAATTGCGCGTCACAGCTGATCGTCACCCAGCTGATCGTCGGGAAATGCCGGTTTGCCCCAACCAGTAGCATTTTTTTACTACTGGTTCGCCTGAACCAGTAGCATTTCACCCCTGGATATATCATATTGACACAAATCTGGTGAAAACCGGCTCTAAAGGTCCCGCCGATTTTCACCTAATTAAAAAGTTTTGTCATTTCCCCCCAGTCATCAGTCACAAGGCCCAATCAGCATACAGTCCAGTTGTTAGATGATCCCAGGCTCCTCCTCCTCCTCCTGAACACCTGCACGAATGTTCTTGGTTCCCAAGGGAAATAATTATATTTTGGCTACAACACCCCAACTATCCCCAACTATTTCCCCCCTCCCTTCCCCTCAGCTCCAGGCTGTGTCAGAATTGAAGCAATCAGAAAGAAAATGGCCTCAATCAGGCCAACTTCAGGGTTGACAATAGACAAATAGGAAATTTAATGAAAGAAAAATTGTATAAAAAGCTCCGGACTATAAGACGCACCTACCTTTTTTGAGGGGGAAACAAGAAAAAAAAATCTGCCTCTTCCTCCCAGCAACTTGCCTCCTTGCAGCAAACAGCCTGCTTTAATTTCATTTTCATTTTCAGCACATCTTGATTATCACAAGAAAAAAAAATCTGTCTCTGCCTCCCAACAGCAAATGGGGCACGCAACATTAGGCAATGGCAATCCCTGCAGCCTTAAACAGCTGAGGGTCGGGAGGCCGATCCAACCGACAATCAGCTGCTTGTGTTAAATCAGGCCGTGCTGAAGCTGAAACGGGCTGATTGCTGCAAGGAGGTAAATTGCTGGGAGGCAGAGGCCAAAGGGTGGGGGCTGACGGGTGGACAGGGCTACATTCGGTGTATAAGATGTACCCAAATTTTCACCCCCTTTTAGGGGGGAAAAAGTGTGTCTTATACTCCGAAAAATACAGTATATACCAAGATTTGCATCAGCCCAATTTGGGGGAGTGGGGGGGGTGTTATTGCCATCCAGAAATTCCCCTTGGCTTTCAAAGATTCTGTTCTGCAGACAATGAGATGAGACTTTTATTGAAGTTGGGGAGCTGGTTGCCATGTTGCTGCCCCAGCATGATACAGTGTCCATTGCAGTTTGGGAGTTCATGGCATCTTGGAATTGTCCCAGGTCATCAATGGGTTGACACACACTGGTATTCAAACATTAGATCAGGGATTTATCTTAGATTCATTGTGATGTCATCCAATTCTGATATACAATATATCACAGAAGTGAGTACACCCCCTCAGATTTTATAAATATTTAAGTATATCTTTTCATGTGACAATACTGAAGAAATGACACTTGGCTACAGTGTAAAGTAGTGAGTATACATTATCACTTAGGGGTGTACTCACTTTTGTTGCCACCAGTTTAGATATTAATGGCTGTAGGTTGTGTTATTTTGTGTTAATTATAATATAATTACACTATTATAGTATAATTACACTATTATACAAGCTGTATATTCACTACTTTACATTGTAGCCAAGTATCATTTCTTCAGTGTTGTCACATGAAAAGATATACTTAAATATTTACAAAATCTGAGGGGGTTTACTCACTTCTGTGATATACTGTATAAGGTTGGGGGCTCATTTGGAAATTGAGCTTTGTTCGGCATCTTTGTATTTGTCAACAAAACAGCCCAAATATAGAATAGAATAGAATTTTTTTATTGGCCAAGTGTGATTGGACACACAAGGAATTTGCCTTGGTGCATACACTCTCAGTAAAACGTACTCAGTAATACGTACATAAAAGATACGTTCATCAAGAATCGTAAGGTACAACACTTAATGATAGTCATAGGGTACAAATAAGCAATCAGGAAACAATATCAATATAAATCATAAGGATACAAGCAACAAAGTTACAGTCACACAGTCATAAGTGGAAGGAGATGGGTGGTGGGAACGATGAGAAGATTAATAGTAGTGCAGACTTAGTAAGTAGTTTGACAGTGTTGAGGGAATTATTTGTTTAGCAGAGTGATGACGTTCGGGGGAAAACTGTTCTTGTGTCTAGTTCTGGTGTGCAGTGCTCTAGTGTCTTTTTGAGGGTAGGAGTTGAAACAGTTTATGAATGATTCTTTTGCTATGTTTCAAACAAAAAGCTTTGATCATTACCCGAGTCTTGCTATAATTTTCATTTTTTTTCCTTTTCAAGGATATAATGAGAAAGAGAATAAGAATTACAACGAGCAGCATCACGCAATCTGTGAGAAAGAGGGAAAAGGGAAGCTTGGAGATCAGATGCAACCGAAGTGCCATGAGACAAACCGATCACAAAGTAGAATGAAAAAAAGCTTTCCTCGTGTCAGTCAGCTCCCTCGCGATAGAAGCATCAATACTGGAGAAAGACCATATCAATGCATGGAGTCTGTAAAGGGCTTGAATGAAGCCAATGATCTCATTTCCCACAAAAAGACACATTTGGAAGAGAAACTATATACCTGCAGGGAATGTGGAAAGACCTTCCATGATAATCACTCTCTTGTAAGCCATCAAAGGACTCACAAAGAAGAAACGCCTTATAAATGCATGGAGCGTGGAAATACCTTTACTTGTAGTAGTGGCAGTCGTACTCCCTGCAAGAAGGCCCGCCCGGTAGAGAAGCCATATAAATGTGCGGCATGTGAAAAAGGCTTTAGATACAATAGTGAACTTCTTGCCCATGAAAGGATCCATACAGGAGAGAAGCCGTATCAATGCATGGAGTGTGGGAGAAGGTTTGGCAACAGTGGGTATCTGATTCGCCACAGGGCTGTTCATACAGGGGTGAGACCTTATCAATGCACAGAGTGCGGAAAAACCTTTACTCGTAACGCTAATCTGAATTCCCACAAGAAGCTCCACTCAGGCGAAAAACCCTATCAGTGTAGCGAATGTGGGAAGAGCTTTACTGAGAGTAAAACTCTGACTATCCATATAAGGAGCCACACAGGGGAGAAACCATATCAGTGCATGGAGTGTGGAAATACCTTTACCTGTAGTAGTGGTCTTAATTCCCACAAGAGGATCCACACAGGAGAGAGGCTGTATCAATGCACGGAGTGTGGAAGGAGGTTCGCAAGGAATTACGCTCTTAATTGCCATAGAAAGGTCCACTCAAGGGAGAAGCCATATAAATACAGGCAATATAGGAAGAGCGTCAGTAGAAATGCAGGTAATCCTCGTCTTACGACTGCAGTTGAGCTCCAAAATTTCCGTTGCTAAGGGAAATCATTGTTAAGTGTGTTTCGCCCCATTTTATAACTTGATTCACACTGAAGTGAATCATTGCGGTTGTTTAAGTTAACAGCACAATAGTTAATTGAATTTGGTTTCCCCGTTGACTTTGTTTGTCAGAAGGGCACAAAGGATGCTCCCATGACCAGAGGACACTGCAACCATCTTGAATGAGAAGCGAATCGTCTTCAAAAGAAAAAACAAAGTCCAGTTGCCTCCAAAAAAAAGCACCTTTGGGTTTGTGTCACTGGCTCCTCACCATAAACCTGTACGCGTACATATTCTATGGAAGAAGCTTCAGACGAAGAGTTCTGAAAAGGAGCCTAGGAACTCTAGGAAGTCCTGTAAATGCCTATACAAAAGTTTTTCTTCAGTAAAGGTGCCAAATTCAGTTTCCCTATGGTATGACAGGGTCCCAAACAAAAGCTAAAATGGTAGGGTTTTGTTTTATTTTGTTTTGTTTTGTTTTGGTACGTTTACTTGCAGCCTTAACTTAAATTAAAGAAGTACAGTTGATATGATTTCTTTCCAGTTATATTAATGAACTTTGGGCTGATTATCAATTGCAAACGTTGGATTATTTTTGGAGGGGCGTACATGGCGGTTTTAAAATCTCATGCCAGCTTGAAATCATTTACACAAAAGACAGCTTAACAGTATTATGTCAGACCTCCAAGGTGTTCTGACCCAGCCTTAGCAGAGACAAGAAACAGACTCCTTGTCCCGAAAACCCTCTCTTTATTTATCTCCTGTGGATTAATGGCATTCGCACACTGAAAAATCCAGGCAATAATCCTTCAAAGAGTTAACTGCAGTAACAGACCTTATCAGTTCCTTGAGATAATTGCCAGGTGAACCACGATGAGCAAAATCTTCCGAAATCTGAATGGTTTTCTCTTGCAAACACCACTCCCCTTTCCTTATTTATTCCCCAGCCAGGGAGGGACCATTCAGCATCCACATGTGCCTTTCTTCCCGAGTCGACTCCTTGTCCTCAGTGGTTGTTCTCTCTGCGCATCTGGAACAGGCCCCAGCTGTTCTTTCTCCCCACTTATCTCTACCTCAGAAGGCAACTGCCTCTCCAGTGGCTGGGAAATGTCGAATGGCCCTGGCTCTATCTCTGCTTCCAACACAGAGCATCCATCAGAGCCTTCCCTCATCGTCTTGAGTCTGCCGCCAACTCCACTGGCAGCTGGCAGGCCACAACACAAGGTAACCCAGACAGGAAACATGACCAGATAGGTTAATGTGTTAATAGAATAATATAAGCCTATGTGGGACATAATACTGAGTTAGAAGATTGGGGGAAAAATTGGAAGAAAATTATACATTAACAAAATCCGCCACATATAAAGAAAATCAAAATGTTCTATCGGTGGCACTTAGCCCCAACAAGACTTGCAAAAATGTACCCCAATCTAAACCCTAATTGCTGGAAATGTAAAAAAACACGAGGTACCTTTTTTCATGTATGGTGGCTTTGCCCAGAAATCAAAAAATACTGGATTAAAATACAAAAATGGTTAAAAGAAGTTACACATTGCCAAATAGAATTGAAGCCTGAACTGTTTCTTCTGGGGATCATTAAAAAGATTAAATATTTGATCGTTCATATTATTACAGCAGCGAGAATTGTACTCGCACAATTTTCCACAAGCCAGGAAAATGTTCGCTACACAGTTTTTTATTATTTTTAAAACAAAAATATAAAACACATCTTTTCAAAATGAAGCTTTTGATCCAGTAACAAATTAATACAAATCTCTTAACAAATCTTAATTTCCAATTAACACAACTTAATATTTTATGCATATGTTTCCCTCAAATCTGTCTATTAAACTATGCCATTATCCCCAAAAACCCATTGCTTAAATCTTAAATCCTATCCAATTATCATTCCATTTTTTCTTTCATTTGCTGAGATGGATATATTTTAACAATATAAACCATACAGTTGTTATAAATATTCATGAAATATTTAATTCCAACATACTCATTTTATTTTTATTATTAAACTCAAAATTTTTAATCTTTATTTCTATTATTAAATCTAATTTATTCATTTTATTTTAACTATTTCAGCATACTAATCCTCATTTTAACTATCCCTCCTCATTTTATTTTTGCTATAAAACCCAGCATTGTTATCTTTATCTCTGTCGTTAAACCAATCATTTTTATTTCTTGGTTGTTAAACACAGCATGCCCATTTTATTTTTGGCTGTTGAACACAGCCTACCCATTTTTATTTTTTGGCTGTTACCCAGCATGCCCATTTTGTTTGGCTGTTAAACACAGCATATTCATTTTTGTTTTCTGGCTGTTACATAGCATATCTATTTTACTTTTTGGCTGTTAAACACAGCATATTTAGTTGGTTTAACTATTGATTCCTAATTAATCCTTCCTTTGTTGTTTCCATCCATCTATACATTACTTATTTTCACTTAATCATATTTATCTTTGTCCTTTTTCATGACATTCATGACATTTTAACATTGAGACATGGTTCTTGCTTAAAACATCTTTAGATGTATTTATAAATGCCTTTTAACATTTTCAATTAATCATATTTATCCTTATTCTTTTTCCTAACATTTTAACATTAAAACATAATTCTTGCTTCAAACATACCTTAAGCATATATTTATTAATTCCTTTTAGACATTCTTAATTTCTACAAAAACCTCCCTTTAATGATTACAATCCACCTTTACATTATTTTATTTTTAATCACATTGTCTTCATTTCCTCACCTATAGACATATATTTCCTTCCATTTTCCAACTTTTTTATTATTTATTTATTTATTTATTTATTTATTATTTTTTATTATTTTATTTATTATTTTATTCTCCATAATTCAGGTTAATTCTCTTTCTTATTTTTATTCCGGATATAATGTATCAAGTCTTTTTCTTTTGAGCCTGCGCTTAATCCTTCTTCTTAAAACATATCTTTAGATGTATTTATAAGTTCCTTTTAACATTTTCAATTAATCATATTTATCCTTATTTTTTTTTCTAACATTTTAACATTAAAACATAATTCTTGCTTCAAACATACCTTAACATATATTTATTAATTCCTTTTAGACATTCTTAATTTCTATAAAAACCTCCCTTTAATGATTACAATCCACCTTTACATTATTTTATTTTTAATCACATGTCTTCATTTCCTCACCTGTAGACGTATATTTCCTTCCATTTTCCAACTTTTTAATTTTATTCTCCATAATTCAGGTTAATTCTCTTTCTTATTTTTATTCCGGATATAATGTATCAAGTCTCTTTCTTTTGAGCCTGAGCTTAATCCTTCTTCTGTTCCTGCACCAGTATTTAAATTATTATTGTTTCAACTATAGGAGTTCCATTATAAATTCCTTTTCTTTTCACCAAAGTCAAGCTGCCTGCAGACAGGAAAAAAAACCCTCCTCCACAAAGTTCAGTAACTTTTATCTGTAAGGCTCAGAGTTTCCCATAACAAAAAGAAGTTACAACGTTCCTCTTCAAGCCAGATGGTGTGTCTCTATAATCCACATTTTCCATTAGTCATGCAAGACTCCATTTTCAAATTATATAACCATCCATTTTATTTCTTCTTTTAATTTATAAAGTATCGAATCTTCTTTTTTTTTCTTTTTAAAATCCAATTTAAATTTTAAAGTATTTAGTCTTTTTATCATATCTCCATGATTAGTTCCGTTAGTTCTGTTCCAAAGTTAGTTGTTTCTCGGGTCTTTGTCTCTTTAAGGTTACAGTTTTAAAAAATTTTTCCGAAGTCCCTTTGTTGCACAGCCACTGTTTTAGGCTAGGGGTCTTCTAAATATTAATATTGCTCCAAACGTTGTTGCAAGCCTGGGTTGTTGTCACTCACCCGGCTTCAAAGAGCTCCATTTTACTCTGCTTTCCTCCAGCACTTTTCTTAGTCCGGTTGTCCCAGCTTTGTGGAAGCCGCCATGGCTGCTGCCCCCCGCCGAGGAACTTGCCTGTTCCTCTTGGTCGTTCGAGGCACCCCTCCTTTTCCCTCGTCCCTGCAGGACGGTTCCAGTCCGAAGACCCATCGGTGGTGGTTCAGCAGGCAGGGTTTTCGCGGGGCTCATCAGAGCCTGCTATTTCCCTGAATGTCTCGCTGCGACGCCAAACCGGAAGTCAATCCAGAAAATTTTTGAATGTGCAGAAATGGACAAACTTATTATAGAATTAAATAACAAGGAAGACTCAGAATATTACTCAACCTGAGAAAACTGGTATCAATGGATAGAAAATAAAAATAGGAAATATATAGATCAAAATAAGATATAAATTGTGTTTACATATATTAGATCAAGAAGGAATATCTGAGAATATATTTATAGAGTTATTTGTGTACTGTTGGAACAATGTTGAATTGTACAACTATCATGGGCATATTTTTGTTAAAGACATTTGTATTAGTATTTTAATATTTTAAATTTTAATAAAGGTTTTTTGAAAATTAAAAAAAATAATAGTATAAATCTGAAAGTATACATCTGCGGTCACCTTTAAATTTGCCTCCAACTTGAGATGGGCAATATATAAATTTAATAAGTAATACATAACAGTCTGATTCATTGGTGTACATTGTTGTTAAGTTTCTTTTTGGACTATTATGCACTTGTAGGCTCCATCTTCTATCACATAGTTCTTTAGGCAGCATGCATTGTCCCTCAAGAGCAGGGGTGTCAAATTCAAGGCCCGCGGGCCGAATCCTGCCCATGATGAGGTCAGATACAGCCCACGCGGCCATCCTGGAAACTAAGGGGTGAAGTAACCATGTTACTTCCGCTTGGTCCCCGCCATGCTGGCAGGCGTGTGCACAATGTGCCCACAAGCCCAGTTCACTGTCACCGCATGCAGGGCAACAAAAGTAGTCTGTGAGACCAGTAAAAAAAAATAGCTCAGACCTTCCAACTTCACGAGATCTTTTTTTTTTTTCCTGTGAGAAGTTGGAAGTTCTGAACTATTTTTTTTGACCATAGTCCCACAGACTTACTTTTGTTGCCCTGCACGCGGCAGCAGAGAACAGAATTGGAAAGCAGGTTAGTGAAGGGATGTGGCTGCCCTGGGGTTGGGTATGAGGGTTTGGCATGGATGGCCTGGCTGAAGGGCCCTCAGGTAAGCAGGTGCAGGGCAGGTGGGGCAGCTCTGTACCCCCCTGCCTTGCTTTGTCCTCCACACACCGCCACCTCACTTCGTTCTTCGCCACTTCCCCTTGCTGCTGTAACGGCAGGAGGCTGAGCAATGCACTGAAGCAGTGGACACAAAGGGAGGTGGTGGGGGGTGGAGGACAAAGCAAGGGAGGGATGCGGAGCTTCCCCTCCATGCCCCACATCGGCTTATCTGAGCACCCCGCAGCCAGACCATCAACATCCTGACAGCTGCCCCGTATTGCAGTAGCTCCAGCAGAGAGAGAGCGATCGAATCCAACCGCGGAGAGTTAGAGAGATACTTGTACATCAGATACCTGTACAATTAGCACAGGGGCCCCCCAAGGCTGTGTGCTCTCCCCACTTCACTTCTCTCTGTATACAAATGACTGCATCTCTAATGATCCATCTGTTAAACTACTGAAGTTCGCAGATGACACAACAGTGATTGGTCTCATTCGAGACAATGATGAATCCGCATACAGACGGGAGGTTGAACAACTAGCCTCGTGGTGCAACCAGAACAATCTGGAACTGAACACTCTCAAAACCGTAGAAATGGTAGACTTTAGGAGAAACCCTTCCATACTTCCACCTCTCACAATACTAGACAACACAGTATCAACAGTAGATAGTAGTAAATTTCTAGGTTCTACCATATTGCAAGATCCAAAATGGACAGCTAACATCAAAAACGTCATCAAAAAAGCACAACAAAGAATGTTCTTTCTGCGCCAACTCAGAAAGCTCAAACTGCCCAAGGAGCTGCTGATCCAATTCTACAGAGGAATTACTGAGTCTGTCATCTGCACCTCTATAACTGTCTTGTTTGGTTCCGCAATCCAACAAGACAGACATGGACTTCAGAGGATAATTAGAACTGCAGAAAAAACAATAGCTACCAACCTGCCTTCCAATGAGGACCTGTATACTGCACGAGTCAAAAAGAGGGCTGTGAAAATATTTACAGACTCTTCACATCCTGGACATAAACTGTTTCAACTCCTACCCTCAAAACGACGCTATAGAGCACTGCACACCAGAACAACTAGACACAAGAACAGTTTTTCCACAAACGCCATCACTTTGCTAAACAAATAATTCCCTCAACACTGTCAAACTATTTACTAAGTCTGCACTACTATTAATCTTCTCATCGTTCCCACCACCCATCTCCTTCCACTTATGACTGTATGACTGTAACTGTTGCTTGTATCCTTACGATTTATATTGATATTGTTTCCTGATTGCTTATTTGTAACCTATGACTATCCTTAAGTGTTGTACCTTATGATTCTTGATGAACGTATCTTGTCTTTTTATGTACACTGAGAGCATATGCACCAAGACAAATTCCTTGTATGTCCAATCACAGTTGGCCAATAAAAATTCTATTCTATTCTATTCTATTCTATTCTATTCTATTCTATTCTATTCTATTCTATTCTATTCTATTCTATTCTATTCTATTCTACCAGGGCTGGCAGTGGCATGTTTCAGTGCCTGTCCAGCAGGGCGCTTCTAACTCGACTGCCTTCCCTCTTTTCCCTGCTCCTTCAGATAAAAGCTGCACTTTTTGTCTGTTTATTGCAGTGCAGCGCCCAGGATTTACTTAGCGGCGGGGCTTGGGGGATGGTCAATCCCCATTCATGGCATGGTGAAGGTGGAAGGCAATGCCCACCACCAGACCAGCCTGGCGGGGGTGGGATGGGAAACCAAACAGCACCAAAAGCAGCTGAAGGCACACTGGCTGTAGCTGCCCCGCCACCTGCCTCGCCTCACCTCATCCCGCGGGATGACCCTCCTGCCCCCCTCCCACCCCACCCACTGGAGACCCCTGGATTCCCTCCCTAGCCCCATCCAGGCACCACAGGCACCACCCACATGAGTGACATCAAGCTGGCCACACTCCTTGGCCACGCCCAGTAAGCGCCTCTCCCCAGCCACCAGAGGACAGCCACAATGCTGATCCAGCACTCAATGAAATCAAGTTTGACACCCCTGCAGTAATTGTAGAAAGAGCAGTAAGGAAGATTTGGCTTGAGGAAAAGGGTGGCTGCTTCCATACTTTGGAGAGCTCCCATTGCAGGTTTGTATGTGCTGCATTAACCTTGATCGCAATGCTTTTATTAAGCAATCCATTGTTTTCTTCATTGAGGCTCCATGCTAGACCTCAGTATTACTACTGACCAGAGGTGGGATTCACTTACCTTCCCTACCGGTTTGCAAATGTGAGCGCGTGCGCCAGTGGTGGGTTTCAAAATTCTCTACTATCGGTTTGTGGGTGTGGCTTGGTGGGCGTGGCAGGGGAAGGATACTGTAAAATCTCCATTCCCTCCCCAATCCAGGGGAAGGTTACTGCAAAATCCCCATTTCCTCCCGATCAGCTGGGACTTGGGAGGCAGAAAATAGATGGGGGCAGGGCCAGTCAGAATTTTTACTACCGGTTTTTCGAACTACTCAAAATTTCCACTACTGGTTCTCCAGAACTGGTCAGAACCTGCTGAAACTCAGCTCTGGCGTGCGCGCTTCGTTCGCACGTGCCTTATCTCCGCATGTGCACGGCCTTGTGCGCATGCACAGTGCTTGTGCGTTACGTCCAGGCAGATAGGCGGAGCCTCCCGCAGTCGCCACTACCAGTTCGTGCGAGCCAGAGAGAACCGGCTGAATCCCACCACTGCTACTGACACTACTACTGTGCCGTAGGGTCCCTCTAGCTGTCCTGTAAAATTTGTTTGATTTTTTTTAAAAAAAGATTAACTTGGATTTGGAAAAAAGTAATCGGGATACTGCTGCAACAGTTTCCACTTTACATGAGGGCCAGATGTGCTAACACCTTGCACCACACACTGCAAAACAATGACCCCATACTATTTCAGTCATGAACACCCACCTACCTTCCTTCCTTCCTTCCTTCCTTCCTTCCTTCCTTCCTTCCCCAAGTTGGGGATAATCAGGAGACTATGAATAAAAGTGAAAAAAAAAAATAAACCAAATAAATCAAACTTAAAATAATATTAAGAAATACTACCTTAAAAGCTTCTCTAGTTCTCCCTAAGAAACAAATATAGGACAGAAATAAAAAGGGGAACTGCCTCATCATACTTGCATCCGTGGTTTAAAACCAAGACTTGAGTCAAGTATGAATGCAAAAACATGGAATGTCTTTCAAAGATTTCCCATTACTTGTCACACACACACACACGTATATATATATATATCATATATATATTGTCACAAGTAAATGCCTTATTCTCTAATAGGGAAATTGTATATACACGGGGTATCGGGTTAATTTATTCTTCCTCCCTTAACATATTCATATGTAACCACTCCCATCCTTTACTCCGCCTTGTTAATATAAAAGGGGATGTATGCACCTCCTCCTTGCTTCTATCTGCAATCATTCAGAGAATTTAGAATGCCTACTGTAAATAAATAGTGTTATGTTTGAATGCTTCATCCTTGAATCATTTATTGAGTCTGATCCTTAAAATTACGCAACAATCTGGTAGCAGAGGATGGTTAAATTGACTCAATAAAAATCAGATATGCCTAAGAGAGAAAACTCCAGAAACAAGAGAGAAAGACCCAACACCAGGGCACACAATAAAGAGATGGAAACGGATCAAGAAATGATCGATGAATTCACAACTATAATAACAAAAGAATCTGAAGAATGCACTACAGACAACGAGGAGATGATCGATGAAACTGATGACCAGGAAGAGAACGAGATAGAAAACAACGAACTCAGATCAGAGATACTGAGACTTTTGAAAAACCAAAAGGATGACGAAAATCTCATCGCGAACCTCCAAGACATCATAAAAAACAGCGGAGCAGCGAGAGAAAAATACATCGTAACAGATGAATCTAAAGAACTAAAAATGGTGAGCAAATTGCCTGTAGATAAGAATATAACAAAAAAGAAGACTAACGGTCCAGCACAAAATTTTGAATGGCAGCCATCTTGTTTTCAACAGACCACTAAGATGAGCGAAGCAGAGCCAATCAGAAAACAGAATTCAAAATGTCTGGCGCGAAAAGCCCTACATAATACAAAAAGCAAAAAAGAAAAAATCTACTCTTCAGAAGAATCTGATACAGACATCGAAATCGAAATGCAAATAGAATCAGCAGTGAAAACTCTCTTTGCAACATTCGGTCCAAAATTAAGAATCACGAAAGAATCAACGAAAGCTAGCAACCAAGGAATAAAGAAAAGACAAGCAAGCAAGCAAACATCTCAGAATCTACCCGCTTCTATCCAAACGACGAGAGCACCGACGCCTGAACCCAGAGAACCCTGTAAATACTCCCCCACGCCACAGACGATTCCAGGAACCAGAGACTTCAACAAGAACTATTTCAGCAAAAAGAAACAAGCGCCAGTCGTCACCTGGACACCCAAGATCGAACCGGAGACCGAATCATCGGAAGAAGAACACTACGAGGGAGCTGCAGCAGCGAGAACCTCTCCCGACAGCTTCAGAAGCGAAATGAGCAACGTGCATGCGCAAACACACGCAGACAACTACGGAGGACATGAAGAACAGAGAGAGCCCTTCAGACTCATTGCAAGCATACCCACACCATTCTGCAACTATCAACATTTACAAGACCACGGACTACCTCCAGTTGTAAGTAATGGAACAAATAATATTGGGAACTTGCCCAATGATTTCCCAAAACTGAGAATTGATGGTATTAATTTGCAGGAATGGTGTCAACAACTTCAGGTTGTTTTTCTAAAAGAGAACTTATTATTCTTTATAACTAACCCCCCCAAAAGGCCTTGGACTCTAAAATTGGACTGCCTGCACCACAGGGCATTCTACTTATTAATATCCAGTATATCTCCTGCTATGTACCATAGTATTAAGCATAACTTGACTGTCTCAGAAATTGTTCAATGCATGTTTAAATTGTTTCATAGTGAAAGTGTAGCAACCACTACAAGAATGTCTAAAGATTTCTTCTCAGCTAAGATAAAGTCTGGGGTTACCATAAGTGAACACTTGATATCTCTAAACAAAATCAGAGCAGAGCTACATTTAAGGGGAGAGATAATTTCAGATCAAACAATGAAAAGTGTTATCATTAATTCATTAGACCCATCGTGGGATAACTACATATCACATTTAGACACAATTAATTTAGGATACTTATCCATAGAGAATTTATCAAATAAGCTAATAGCTGAAGATAATTTAAGAAGGAGTCGCTGTAATACTCACATAGAACATAGACAAAGTAAGAGAGTAGTATTTCAAGAAAAATATCGAGAATCAATTGAATGTCATAATTGTGGATCAAAAGAGCATTGTAGAAGAGATTGCCCTAAATTTCTTAGAGAAAGGCAAAAACATGACTATAGAAGCAGATACCATAACAATCATCCATTGATAGACATAGATATAGAAACTCACCTAATTATAGAGAGTATAGAGGGGGCAGAGATAATTCGAGATAATTCGAGAGATAGAAAGTCTGGATCACTAAATGGACTAAATAAATATAATATAACTAACATATAACATCCAGGGGATAATGATTGGCTCATTGATTCTGGGGCAACTAATCACACAACACATAACAAAAATATATTATCTTCCTTTATAGAAGATAAATTTTTAATTAAGGTAGCCAATCAAGAAAAAGTTCAAGTTATTGGTAGAGGAAATGTAAACTTACCTGGTCTAGGAAAAATAGAGGGGGTATTATTGATACCAGAAATACCTCATAACATACTTAGTGCAATAAAACTAAGTAGAGATTCTGACATAAATATAGTATTCTCAAAGGGAAAAGCAACACTAGAGAAAAACAAAACAAGCTTGGGTAGTGTGATTATCAAAGGGGGTCTACCTTATTTGGTCATAAAAGAAGAATGGTTACACAATATTGATTCTAACATGGAAAATGACACTAACATAGAAAATGAAGACAATAGCAATAGTGATAATGAAGAACATGAAACAAATCCTAACCACAAAAACACATCTATTAATGACACATTCAATAACAAAAAACCTACAATTGGAAAACCAATCCACGATGAATGTGCACATATTTTACACAGAAAATTGGGACATGCTAGTTTTCCTGTAGTACAAAAAATGATTGAACATGCTGAAGGTGTTAAAATAAAAAATTGTAAAAATTATTTGGAATGCTCAGTATGTAAGTCCACAAAACTCAGAACTAAACCCAAGCCAAGAAAGGCAACAAGATCAACTAATCAAATTTTTGATCTGGTACATATGGATCTGGTTGGTCCATTAACCCCATCAATCACATATAGAAAACGATACTTCCTGACTATTGTAGATGACTATAGTCGTTACGGATTTGTCTATACTTTGAAACACAAAGATGAAACATTTCAAAAATTTAAAGAGTTTTACAAAAGTGTAGAAACACAACATAATATTAAAATAAAACAAATCATGACAGATAGGGGGTCTGAATTCATGTCAAAAGAATTCTCCCAATGGCTAAAAGACAAAGGGATGATACACTTCACATCTAGCCCTTTCTCTGCATTCCAAAATGGAGTGGTAGAGAGAAAGAACTCGACACTACAAACCATGATTAGGTGTACATTAGAAGATGCTGGTTTAGGAAAACAATTCTGGTCAGAAGCATTACTATACACAAAATAGAACTTGGTCCAGCATCCTAAACAAAACGCCATACGAATTAATGTACAATAGAAAACCCAAATTAACACACATGCACATATTTGGAGTCACAGCGGATGTACACATACCAAAACAATTGAGGCGTAAAGGAGAGAACGTATCCAGAAGACTTAGATTCATGGGATACGAAACAGGTACAAAAGGGTACAGATTTATTGATAATAATAACAAATTCATAATTTCTAGAACAGCTGTATTTCATGAACAGGCCAACTGGTCTAAAATACATCTTAATGAAATATTCCCAACCACAAATCTAGACACTAAACATCAAGATAAAGTAGTTAGAGAAGAACTCAATCACAACACACATGGAAACAAAAGTAAAACATGGACAAATAGTCACCACAGAATAAAAACAGATTCATTAACAAAAAAGGAGGCTAGATACCTACACGATAACGATAGCAAACCAGAAAAAACAATCAGATGTAACAGAAATCAAGTGCCAAGTAAATACAAGGATTACATAATGTACATGAATGATGAAGCATCAACACCAAACACATACGAGGAAGTATTAAAGCTCCCCATTGAAGAAAGAAAAAAATGGGAATTAGCCATGGCCAAAGAGATGGACAGTTTATGAGAATTAAATGTATTTACACCTACCCCTGCACCTAAGGACAAAACTATTATAGGCACCAGGTGGATATTCAAAATTAAAAATCTGGAAGAAGGCAACACATTATATAAAGCTAGACTAGTCGCACAAGGTTATGCTCAAAAATATCCTGAGGATTACACAGACACATACTCTCCCACAGTAAGGACTGAGAGTGTTAAGACAGCTTTAGTTATAGCATCTACACTTAACCTTGATGTATTTCAATATGACATACAGACTGCGTATCTACACGCAAAACTTGATAAAGAGATATATGTAAGAGCACCTCATAGCCAATACACAAACAAAAATGAAACTTGGTTATTGAATAAAAGTTTGTACGGATTAAAGCAATCTGGCAAACGTTGGTATGAATGTTTAGTCAACGTACTCAAAACTATGAATTTCAATGCCACCACTGCAGACAACTGTTTCTTTGTCAAAAAAGAGGGTGATTCTCTAGAATTTGTGTTAATTTATGTGGATGATATTTTATATATCGGTAAACATAAAGAAAAAAGAGATACATTTGTAACTAAACTAAATGAACATTTTTCTTTAAAATCATTGGGAAAGGTAAATAAATATCTTGGAGTTCAAATCAGTAAAACCAAAAGAGGATTTAAACTTTCTCAGAAAGATAAAATTATAGAACTCCTAAACAAATGTAATTTGAATGATGCTAAGACTTGTGATACTCCTATGCAAACAGATTTCCTAAGAAACATGGATGAATCATCCCCTGAATTTAAAGATAATACACTTTACAGATCAGTTATTGGTTCCCTTTTGTATATTTCTAATTGGACTAGACCTGATATTGCTTTACCCCTTAATCTGTTATCCAGGTATGTTAGCAAACCCTTAATGTACCATTGGGAAGCCGTTAAACAAATATTGAGGTACTTAAAGCACAGCTTAGACTTCTGCCTACTACTGGAACCTAATAATGTTAAAGAGCCCGTTCTCACTTGTTACGCTGATGCGGATTGGGCAGGTGATACTAAATGCAGAAAAAGCACATCAGGCTATATATTTTTTCTTAACGATTGTCCAGTCTACTGGTATACTGGAAAACAAGATTTAGTAGCTACATCAACAACCGAGGCAGAATATGTTTGTTTGTCTAAAGCCTCCAACAACCTTGTATGGTTTAACGATTTATTGTCAAATATTTGGAAAAATCCCTCATTACCATTTATCATACATGAAGATAACAAAGCTGCTATTGAGATATCTAGATCTGATGCTATTGGTCAAAGATCCAGACATATAGATATCAAATTCAAACACGTAAGACAATTATCTCAAGATGGATTTATTAAAGCCGTTCACTGCGAAACCTCAGAACAAATAGCTGACATATTGACTAAGCCTTTGCCATCTAAACAACACAAGTATTTAACTTCTAAATTACAAGTTTTATATTGTTCTGAATCTGAATGTAATTATTGCTGTATATCGAATCGGCATTTAGAGGGGGATTTGTCACAAGTAAATGCCTTATTCTCTAATAGGGAAATTGTATATACACGGGGTATCAGGGGTTAATTTATTCTTCCTCCCTTAACATATTCATATGTAACCACTCCCATCCTTTACTCCGCCTTGTTAATATAAAAGGGGATGTATGCACCTCCTCCTTGCTTCTATCTGCAATCATTCAGAGAATTTAGAATGCCTACTGTAAATAAATAGTGTTATGTTTGAATACTTCATCCTTGAATCATTTATTGAGTCTGATCCTTAAAATTACGCAACAATCATACTTCTGCTCAGAGCTGAAGAACCTTTTTGGATGAGAAGCGAAACGTCTTCAAAGAAAAACCAGAAAGTCCAGTTGCCTCTTGAAAAAGCATCTTTGGGACATGATTGTCTTGCGTCTTTGTAGATCTGTTGAGTCCTCGGAGATAGGGCGGCATATAAATTTTATTAAATAAATAAATCAATCTTCTGGCATTGCACACAGGATCCACCAGGAGGCTTCCTCGGTAGCCGCTGGAAGAACTGGCCATGCGCCTATCTCTTCGCAAACTCAAGGGACGGGCGCTACTCGGGGGTTTCCGCCCTTTCTACCGCGTCCGTTTCTGTTCCCCCTTCGCTGCGAGCCTTAGGCTGAGCCTTTCCAGGGGTCCATGAGGCTGCAAGGAAGTTTTGCAGGGATGGAGATCCAGACGTGACTCCGGAGTTCAGTGAGGGGGTGGGAATGCTTGGATGCATACAAAACTTCATCCGTTACGGAGTTGTGAAAGAGGAATCCCACCGGGATCCCATGTCCCTCTGTCACCTCTCTGCATGCACGTGATAAACGGGAGAAAGCAAAGCTCCGGACCCACCGCGCTGCCCCTAGGGAAAAGAATAAACCAGGATCGCCAGGGAAGAGCGAGCCGTTTAATCTCCGTTTCCTCTGGAAAAAAAATCCTCTGCAGGAGGGTGGAAGAGAAGTCGGCTTTGCAAAACAGATTTCTGCCTCGAAGTCAGTCTTGATTCCTAGACAGAACAGACGTTACAAACATGATCAAAACATCATCTTGAAGCATAGAGGGTTTATTCATACAGGTATTAGTTCTTGCATACCTTGGATAACGGTTTGTTAATTCGGACTTCCGGAGTTTTCCCAGGGACTTGAGCTTAATGGGATTCTACTCATTAGAAGCTTTGCTGGAAGCTCAAATGTTGATTTAATTATTACATTGGTTTAGATAGCCACTCATCTCAGTTGCGCTTTAGGAGCTGAGAGCTTTATGATTCTGATGGTGCAGAAGTTGTTTTTTTTTAACTTGGCAAGCAGCCATTGAAATTATTTGAATAAATAAGTAAGCAATAGAAATCTAAAATCTAAAACGTTTCTACATGTATTTATGCAATATTTTGAGTCCTTGATAGAAGATGATCTATAACTGCTCTCCTGAATTTCCTGCAGTAGACAGTCTTCCTAATAAGGTACCCCTTCCTCCCAAATGTTTGTGGGTTCCTTATTTTGATTTGATTAATTTTTTTTTGAGGTGTAGGAGTATGTTGCTCAGTATTCAAATGTATCACCCTATTAAACACCCTGTGTTTTCCATTTCAGATATGTAACCTGGAAATCTTTCCTGGTTCCTCTGGAGACTGAAGTATCTTGTGTGGGAAGAGGGCTGAATGACCTTAGGAGATTTGGCCAGACATCTTCTGATTAATAAGACCTGAGGAGATCAGTCCATTTTGTTGCTGGATTAGAGACCAGAGAGAAAATGGAGGGACAACGCCCAGCAAATGCAGGAGTCAGAAAAGGCCCTCCAGTTACTCAGCCTTGGAGCTGTGGGAAGAATGGGGCAAGTTCTGGGCAAAAGAGCCAAAAAGAAGAAGCCAAAAGTTCAGAGGTCCAATGCTGTGACTTCAAAAAAGTGCATTTACAGGAGAGGAAGAGTCCCCGAGATGTTTGCAGTCAGCTTCACCGCCTTTGCCGTCAATGGCTGCAACCAGAAAAACACACCAAGGCTGAGATGCTGGACCTGGTGCTCCTGGAGCATTTCCTGGCTGTCTTTCCCCCAGAGATGAAGAAATGGGTGCGGGAGTGTGGAGTGGAGACCAGTTCCCAGGCGGTGGCCTGTCCGAAGGCTTCCTCCTGTCACAGGAGGAGGAAAAGCTGGAAATTTTGCAGGTGTGAAAATGTAATAATTGAAACTCTAAAGAGGAGCTGTCTGAATTGCCTCTCTGGCACTTTTCAGGGATTGTGAACTCCTAAGGCGAGTTGTTCCATTCTTCTTCCAGAGGATGTATTTGGGCAGTGGTTCCATTCTCACTTTCAAATTACAATGATGGACATTGGGGTCTGTTAGGTTGAGGGTTTAATATTGATAATTCATTTTTATTTATGTGCTGATCCCTTCTTTATCATGCCACATCATGTCTAGAAATCTTTGGAAGCTGTGACTGAGTATCCCAAGGAAAGGGAAGATTCATCCAAACCCTCTCAAGAGCTGAAGTTCAGGAAGAGCTTCCAGAAAGATCAAAGTCAAGACACCATGCCAGGTACCAGAAGCTCTTTCCTTGTAATGTGAGGTTTTGGACATTAAAGGTGATTCTTTTGTTCCTCTTCATTGTAATCTCTCTATTTCACAAACATGCTTCCACCATTTTCTGTCTCACAGAGAATAAAAAACAGTCTGGCTTTTTTAGAATCGCCGCCTCTTTCTGGTGGAGCTAAGAGAGTGCTTGAACCTCTGCCTCAGGTAGGACGAGAAACATTGATAAATATCCATGAATCTTGGATGGGTTTCATTTTGTTCTGGAGTTCAGTGTATATTATTGCTATTTCTAAGCAATTCACATTTTAGATCAGGTCAATGAAAATACACACACAGCTGATCCTATCTGTCCCTTCTGATAAGCTTTCTCCACCTTCCTGCTTTCAGGCTCAGATTTCCTTGACTAGATGTTGTCTCAGCTAGAGATCTTCCTTCTGTTTCCCTGTTTCCCTCACAAACCATTATTTTAAAAAGTATTCTCTTTTGTCTTTTGAAAAGCATATTTTGGACAACCATGACCTGGTGATTGAGAATCTCCATAGACTATTACAAGCTCTTCTAACACCTTCATCAAGGTGTGGAATTTGTTCCTCAGTGGATAAAGTAAGCCATTGGCAAAAATGTCAGGTGGGTTTTGCCAGTATTGCCCACCCTAGGAAGAATTGGACCTACTGATAAATAATGGATTTAAGACCCACCTACCAATTAACCAAGAAAACTATCTTAGTTGGCTACAATGAGGTATTGATCCAACTTGATCCAATGCTGTCAGTCATAAATGGTGAGATCTCATTCAGAATTCTGCAGAAGATGCCCATTTTGTTCACTGGTTCTTCTTCCTTGAATTGGTGGTAGAAAACTATCAAATTATTCTTGGGATTATCTGTTAATAGGAAAACATGTTTCCTTGTTCAGGATGTTGTGTCTTTTGATGACGTGGCTGTGTATTTCTCCAAAGAGGAGTGGTCTCAGCTGGAAGCTGACCAAAAAGTGCTCCACAGAGAAGTCATGCTGGAAAATTCCAGGAATCTGGCTTCTCTGGGTAAGAACCCCTTTCTGTGCTCAGGAACGTAGAAAAGTCACGGGATGGGGGGCTTAGATGTTATTTCTGATTAAAAGAACATCACTGTTGTGTCTTTTGAGGAAGTGGCTGTGTATTTCTCCAAGGAGGAGTCGTCTCAACTGGATGCTGACCAAAAAACACTCCATGGAGAAGTCATGCTGGAAAATTCCTGGAATCTCTTTTCTTTGGGTAAGAACCCCTTTCTTGGGCTCAGAAAAATAGAGAGGTCATGGGGTGGGGGGCTTAGTTATTATTACTGATAAAAAAAATCATCATTGTGCCTTTATTTTATTTTATTTTTATTTTATTAATTAAATTTCTATACCGCCCTTCTCCAATAGGACTCAGGGCGGTGCACAGCCAAGATAAAAACAAAGCATACAAAATTTAAGAACAGTATTAAAATAATTAAATATTTTGGCCGAAATTAAGATAACCCAATTTAAAAACAATTTAAAATTTAACTCAGGCCAGCCCAGCTTGTTGAAATAAATAGGTTTTCAGGGCCCGACGAAAAATCCGGAGGTCTGTTATTATACGTAACTCTGGGGGAAGGTTGTTCCAGAGGGTGGGCGCCGTCACAGAGAAGGCTCTCCCCCTGGGGGTCGCCAGCCGACATTGTCTGGCGGACGGCACCCTGAGGAGGCCCACTCTGTGCGAGCGTACTGGCCGGTGGGAGGCTATTGGTGGCAGAAGGTGGTCTCGTAAATACCCCGGCCCTAAGCCATGGAGCGCTTTAAAGGTGGTCACCAACACCTTGAAGCGCACCCGGAAGACCACTGGGAGCCAGTGCAGCTCGCGCAGGAGAGGTGTCACATGGGAGCGCCTCGTCGCCCCCATAATCCCCCGCGCGGCCGCGTTCTGGACCAGCTGGAGCCTCCGGGTGCACCCCAGGGGGAGCCCCATGTAGAGAGCGTTGCAGTAGTCCAGGCGGGAAATGACTAGTGCCTGAGTGACTGTGCGTAGAGAGTCCCGATCTAGAAAGGGGCGCAGCTGGCGTATCAGGCGAACCTGATAAAAAGCCCCCCTGGCCACGGCCGTCAAATGATCTTCTAAAGACAGCCGTGCGTCCAGGAGGACGCCCAAGTTGCGAGCCCTCTCCGTGGGGGCGAGTGATTCGCCCCCAATAGCCAGCGATGGCGTCAGCTGGCTATATCGGGACGCTGGAAGCCACAGCCACTCGGTCTTGGAGGGGTTGAGTCGGAGCCTGTTTCTCCCCATCCAGGCCCGCACGGCCTCCAGACACTGGGACATCACTTCAAGGGCATCGTTGGGGTGGCCTGGGGTGGAGATGTACAGCTGGGTGTCATCAGCGTACTGATGGAACTCCACCCCAAAGCCACGGATGATCTCACCCAGCGGCTTTACATAAATGTTGAACAGAAGGGGCGAGAGGACCGACCCTTGTGGCACCCCACAAGCAAGGTGCCTCGGGGTCGACCGCTGCCCCCCCGTCAACACAGATTGCGACCGGTCAGAGAGGTAGGAGGAGAACCACCGCAGAACGGTGCCCCCCACCCCCAACCCCGCCAACCGGTGCAACATGATACCATGGTCGATGGTATCAAAAGCCGCTGAGAGGTCTAACAGGACCAGGACAGAGGAGCAACCCCTATCCCGAGCCCTCCAGAGATCATCCACCAACGCGACCAATGCCGTTTCCGTGCTGTACCCAGGCCGGAAGCCGGACTGGAGCGGGTCTAGATAGACAGCTTCATCCAGGTACCGGGGAAGCTGTTGCGCCACCACACTCTCAACAACCTTCGCAACAAAGCGAAGGTTGGAGACTGGACGATAGTTAGCCAAAACAGCCGGATCCAGAGAGGGCTTCTTGAGGAGGGGCCTCACAACCGCTTCTTTCAAAGCGGCCGGCAGGACCCCCTCACTCAAAGAAGCGTTAACAATCTTCTGGAGCCAGCCTCGTGTCACCTCCCGGGAAGCCAGTACCAACCAGGAGGGACACGGGTCCAATAAACATGTGGTCGCGTTCAGCCGTCCCAGGACCCTGTCCATGTCCTCGGGAGCCACAGGATCGAACTCCCCCCAGATAACACTCTCAAGACCTGCCTCAGTCATCCCGTCCGGACATACCCAGTCAGAGGCCAGTCCTTCCCGAATCTGAGCGATTTTGTCATACAGATACTGCACAAAGTCCTCGGCTCGGCCCTGCAAGGGGTCATCCCGCGCTTCCAGATGGAGGAGGGAGCGGGTCACCCTAAACAGGGCGGCCGGGCGATTATCTGATGACGCGATAAGAGCGGCAAAATAACTAGATTTCGCCGCTTTTATCGCCACTAGGTAGGTCTTAATATGAGACCTCGCCAGTGTTCGGTCGGATTCGGAGCGACTGGTCCTCCAACTACTCTCCAGGCGTCTTTTCCGGCGCTTCATCTCCCTGAGCTCCTCGGAGAACCAAGGAGCTAGGTGAGTTCGGTGCCGGGTCAGAGGCCGCAAAGGCACGACACGGTCCAAGGCCCCGGCAGCCGCACTATCCCAGGCGGCCACCAGGTCCTCAGTCGAGTCGTGAGCCAGAGTCTCAGGAAATGGCCCAAGCTCCATCTGGAACCTAGCAGGGTCCATCAGGCGCCTGGGGCGGAACCACCTGGTCGGTCCCGCCTCCCTGCGGCGGGGTGCGGCGGTTAGAAAGTCCAGTCGAAGGAGCGAGTGGTCAGACCATTATAATCTGTAAATAATAAAGGCAACGGACAAACTCGATATTCCTTCCTCCTGCTGTTTTCACTACAATCCTGTGATGTGGGTTGAACTGAGAGAAACTGGCCCAAAGTCATCCAGCCACCATTCATGCCTAAGGCAGAACTAGTACTCACAGTCACCCAGTTTCTAGCCTGGTGCCTTAAACATTTGATTAAACTGACTTTACGGAAGGAGGAAATTTATTCAATGAAAAATTAGAAAACTGCATAGCCTCCCTTTTTGCATAAAGGAAATGTTTTTTAGAAAATGCTTTCTGCTCATACAAAACGCTTGTTTCCATACCATAGAACAACAGTCACCAACAGGTCGTCTGTGGACTATTGGTGGTCCGTGAGAAAAATTATTTGCCTTTTTTATATTAGTGGTCCACAGGATTTAAAATTATGGATTTAGTGGTCCTTGAGGTCCGAAAGGGTGGTGACCCCTGCCATAGAAGATATTAGTGAGATTATTATATTAGTTTGTGGCACCATGGAATTGTCCCAGGTCAAAGATTAGATCAAAGTTCATTGTGATGTGATTCAGTCCTTTTATATGAGCATTATTAGAGATCCACTTGGAAATGGGTCTTCGCTAAAATCTTAGTTTGGCATCTTTATGTTTGCCAACAAAAGAGCTGAAATATATTGATGATTCTTTGTCTAAATTTCAGGTAAAAAGGTTTGATTATTCTCAGTTTTCTTTTCTTTTTTCAAGGCTTAAATGGTCAAGAGAATAAGAATTACAAGGAACAATGCCAAGTGATCCATCCAAAAGAGGGAAAGGGGAAATTTGCAGATCAGATGCAACCAAAGAGTGTTGAGACAAGCCAATCAAAAAGTGGAATTTAAAAAAGCTTTCCTTGTGTCAGCTGGCTTCCTAACCATACAAACATCGATATGGGAGATACATATAACCACATGCAGTATGGAAAGAGCCTTACTTATACCAATCATCTTAATTGCCAACAGAAGATCCACAAAGGAGGGAAGGTATATCAATGTATAGAGTGTGGAAAGATCTTCTGTTATTATAGTTCTCTTGTAAGACATCAAAGGAATCACAAAGGAGAAAGACCGTATAAATGCATGGAGTGTGGAAAGAGCTTTACTTGAAGCAGTAACCTTAATTCTCACAAGAGGATCCACACAAAAGAGAAACCATATCAATGTTTTGAATGTGGAAAAGGCTTTAGGTGGAATTCTACTCTTACCACCCACAAAAGGATCCACACAGGTGAGAGGCCACATAAATGTGGGCACTGTGGAGAAGGCTTTAGAAGGAGTTGTGATCTCACTTCCCATAAGGGGATCCATATGGGGGAAAAAACCATATGAATGCATGGAGCGTGGGAAGAGCTTTGCAAGGAGTAATGCTTTTACTTGTCATAGAAGGATCAACACACAGGAGAAATCATATCAATAAAGGAAATGTGAGAAGAGCTTCAATAGAATGCAGGTAGTCCTCAGTTTATGACTGCAATTGATCCAAAAATTTCTGTTGCTAAGCAAGATAGTTGTTAAATTGCCCCATTTTACTTCTTTTCTTGCCACATTTGTTAACTAAATCCTGTAGGTAACATAGTAAAACTGTTAAGTGACTCTGGCTTCTCCATTGACTTTGCTGGTCAGAAGTTCGCAGAAAGTGATCACACAACCCTGGGACACTGCAACTATCATAAATATGAGTCAGTTGTCAAACATTTGAAGTTTTCTCAGTTGACCATGGGAATTCTGCAATGGTGATAAGTGTGAAAAATGGTCAAAAGTCACTTTTTTTCAGTGCTGTGTAACTTTGAAGAATCACTAAATGAACTGTTGTAAATTGTGGACTACCTATAGTTGTCTAAAATCTCATGCAAGGCTCCTGATCTCCGCTCCTTCCATTGGGACTTGAAGACTTGGCTTTTCAAACAAATAGGCTGAGACTGATTCCGGGCTTTATTATTTACTACTAATTAATTATTTGGTTTAAATTATGATTTTATTGTACTTATTTCTTAACTTGTGTTCGCCGCCCTGAGTCCTTCGGGAGAATGGCGGCTTATAAATACATGTAATAAATAATAAATAATAAATTTGAGTAATAATCCAAATAAATTGGAGTCCTTCTTAGATGTGCATCCATAAATTGTCTTTCTAGTGCAAACCAGAACAAGGTGGATCCCTAATCCTGCTTGTGGTTTTTCCAAGTTCAAATAGTTCAGAAGCCTTCTTTGCACGTAGAAATATTCCTGATTGTTTTTCATTATATTGTTTCAAATATTTAAAAAATATCAAACACAAATATCACATTATTCGTCAACTATCTTTTAGGTTTAAAAAAATCCCACATTATTAGAGGTTATCTGATATCTCTTGCCTCAATATTGGCCGAAGTATCTTGACCTAGCCCTTTTTCTGGCTGTTCTACTTTTTCCATCCCTGCTTGTCTGAGGAAGGCTTCAGTGAGAAGTCTGATTGCTGCATCCAGGATGTTAGTTGTTGCTTACAAAGTCTTGCAGGCTGTAAATGCCAAATTCCTTTCCTTTAGCAGCTATGATTTGTTTTCATACACAGTGTTTAATGAATCGCTTTGTCAGAGGTTCCTTTTAAACCATACCCAGTTTGTTTGACTTGAGCTGAAAACATCCATCAAAAGTACTGAATTCTATACAATTTACATTTTCTGTTGGCCAATAAGGATTGTGGAGATGTTTTATTTTGAAAAAATATCCAAGATACAAAAGTGAAGCATAATGTGCAAATACTTTCTTTGCTTTTATCTTATACTAGATCTATAGTGTAGTAAACATACAAAAAATGTGTAAGTTCTTTTTATGTTTGTTTTCCTATAATAGATTTTTAATATATTTGTACTATACAATGTTCTCTATAATATACTATTACTAATATACTATTATATATATATTATTGTCCATATAATATATATTATATAATACTATATATTACTGTCCATCTATGCTATATTATATTATTTTTACTCTTACAAACCCTGGTCTGTCTTTAAAGCCTCTCTGGGATTTCCTCTGTTGTTTTTCTTCTTTATTAATGGAGAGCAGGTAAAGTGCTGGCACCATCCCAACACTGGGATTTGCTTTTGTGATGGCTTTTTTTGCTTTACGACCGCATGACTTAGCGATGGAAATTCTCATCCAAATTCCATTCCTTAAGCAAGGACTACGTATATAGCTCAGTGTCTTGATCCCTGTTTTACACCCACCAAGGGCAGTGAGGGTAGTTGAGTGAAAACACAATGAATGGGGATTTTTATGCTTGTGATGGTGTGCTCGTGCTTACATCCTCATTCTTACAAGTCAAGTCTTTTTCTCACTGGGGCAGCTTGCGTGGGAAAACATTTGGTTCGGCCATGTTCACTTTGTAAAACAGATAGGAAAATCTGTAGCAGCCAGGACTCAGACACAGGACCTGAGATTGGGACTATTCCATGACAACTCTAGACCGCTAAAATGGCTTTGCAGAACTGGCTCAAGGATGTATGCTGTCCATAGGCAGAGGGCCAGAGAAGACAGCCTTAGCAGGCAGCCTGAATCTGAGGCTGTCTTGGGAACTTGTCTGGCAGCTGAACTTTGGAGAGGAGCTAAGAAACATTCAAATTTCTCTATCTGCCTTCTTTACCATGACTAGGAGCTTCGGGATACATAGCTATTATTATGGGCTTTGACTTTGAACCTATAGGAACTGGAAACATGACCCATCTAATGAAGAGACAAAAGGCTGGAATATAGCCATCCATGCCATCCTGACAGCCATGGTTTATTCTTGTGCCCCTACTGCAAAAAGACATGTTCCTTTCCAGCCAGGATGGTTGGCCTGGATAATTGAGTCGTCATTTAGAGAGAAATGTTAAATTCCATTCTTTTTAAATTGCTTCTTAACTCTATTTCTCCATTTCTTTATTTCATTAATGTAAATAAATTTCTTGGTTGTTCTTGCAGTGTCACCTCCAAATACAGACTGATCTTTTCAGACCAGTGAACTCTTCTTTTGGCTAGAAAAAAATGCACCTTCTTTTACTCCAAAGGTCTTAAGGTTCCTATTCATACTCCTGCAGTGTATTCCCGAATGAACACTTAAATAAAACTATTGTCTTTTTTTTTGCCTCAGTATTTGAGCCATATATTTTCTTTTCAATATTTGCCTTTCCTAGTTTTGTAATTCCACCTTTTCTCCAGTCACACATGAGTTTCAATGTTCCATTCTCCATTTCTCCATCACAGGACCTGTTTTGAAGTAAAATTTCTAAAAGGTCCACGAGTTTCAGTTTTGTCACCATTTTGGAACTTGATTTCTTTTTGGTGCCTTTTTTCTCACAGGATTTTTTTTATTAATCCAGGCTGCCTCTTAGTGCTTCGAACTCTCCTTGGCCGCCCAGAGACATGATTTTGAAAAGGAAGCTGTAATAATTGAACTCAGTAGAGACAGTCAATACAAGTTTTAATTTTCCTATCTTAATTTTCCCATCTTTTTCCTCCCTGTGTCTCTGCCAGCCCCCATATCTTCCATCACTTCAGGGTTGAGTTTGCCAACAACCACAACACAGAAGCTTGTCTTTCAAAGAGAGACTTTGTTTCTTGTCTTTTGACAGCCCTGCCATTTCTGACAGGATTTTTGCTCATTTTTGAGGCCTCCTACAGACCCTTCAGCAGAGAAGCTGCTCTTGAGGAAAGTGGATTTTGAGTCTCCACAGAGATTTCCTCATTGTTGGCAAGACCACAGATGGTTCTTAGACATTAAAAAGAGGAAAATCTTTAAACTGCCGCCTTTCCAGACAAGCAATGTTTGTCTGGACAGGGCCTTTCCAGACAAGAAATGTTAGAGGGACACTTTTCTGCTAGTCCAATGCCCATCATCCGAGTCCCACATGGAACATGATGATGCCCTGCGTGTCCTTTGGAATCGCTCGCAGGATCCTCCAGGGGGCTCCCTCGGTAGCCGTTGGAAGAGCCGGGCAGCGTCCCCTTCCCCTCCCGCTTTCGGAAAAAACTGAGCATGCGCATTCTTTCCCGGGCAGTTTTTTTCCCTTTTTCCCAGAAAAGGCTGGGAGCGCTTCTGGCTTTTCTACCGTGTCCGATCCGGTTCCCCTTCGCTGTGAGCCTTGGGCTGAGTTTCTCCAGAAGTCCAAGAGTTTGCAGGGAAATCTTCCACGGATGGAGATCCAGATGTTGTTACTGGAGGCGTGCATCGCGACCTGCAAAACTTCATCAGGTTCGGAGTTATGGGAAAGGGAGATTCCGTGGTCCCATGTTCCCCTGCTCACCCACACCCCCATCCCCCGGTCCATGCACGGGCCAGGCAGGAGAGAAAGCAAAGCTCCGGACCATCGCGCTGCTCCTTTTGGGGGGATCAGGATCGCAGAAACCAAGGGATCCATTTACCCTCCATTTCATTGGGAAAAATCCTGCAAGGGGCGGGGGGCGGGGTGAGAGAGATCGGCTTTGCAAAACAAATTCCTACTTTCAAATCAGTCTTAACTCCTGGATAATTTCCTGCAAATTTCTTGCCTTGTTTTCAGAAGAGGATTCCCTCTCCTCCTCTTTCCTAGGCTGAGAGAAGCGCCCTGCCGAAGTCGCTCCTGCTGGCTTGGGATGCAAGGCTGCAACTCCGCGTGCAAGAAATTGGATATAAGGTGTGCAAGGACTGGAACTCGGTTTCCTGGTTTCCAGCCCTTTCACCACCAACTGGTTCTTCCAGCACATCACAAGATCCTCCACATCATGTTAATACATTGAGATATTCGTTCTGTATGCCTAGGACGATGGTTTCTTAATTCTGCCTTCTGGAGTTTCCCCAGGAGTTTCAGCCCGGAGTTTGATGGGGTTCTCATCTCAACTGTTTGTGAACTAAGAGATTTAAGGTTTCAATTGTGCTGAAGGCACATAATAATAATAATAGAATAGGTAGAATTAGTGGGACATAATATTAGTATCAGTAGAATTAGTTTATTAGTATCAGTAGAATTAGTTTAGGACCTGGTTATTTACGGGACCGCCTGCTACCACCAATAGCCTCCCACCGACCAGTACGCTCCCATAGAGAGGGGCTCCTCCGGGTGCCGTCGGCCAAACAATGTCGACTGGCGGCCCCCAGGGGGAGAGCCTTCTCTGTGGGGGCACCTACTATCTGGAACGAGCTCCCCCCGGACATACGGAGGATCCCGGATCTGCGTACCTTCCGTCGCGCGCTTAAGACCTTCCTATTTCATCAAGTCGGCCTGACCTAAGTCTTTCCCCTTTTTAAATGGAAATTTTAAATCTGGTTTTAAATTATTGGGGTTTTAAATTTGTTCAGCCAAATTATTTAATTTGTTTTAATCTATTTTAAATTTTGTATTTATATCTTTTATTCCATGGCTGTTCACCGCCCTGAGTCCTTCGGGAGTAGGGCGGTATACAAATTCAATAAAATAAATAAAAATAATAAATAAACTGCTCTTTCGTTTATATAAAAATAGTTTTGCTTCTGCCAGTAATAGAATTAAGCACCACTTCTGCTTCTTTTTCTGTACCGCCCTGTGCCTGGTACATATCTCAAACAAGAAGTGGGTTGTGTCCCTGGCAGGGCAGATACTTGTGTTGCTAAGCACCCAGCCCCCCCTGTAGCGCCCCCTTACAGATATTGCTGGATTTCTTTTTTTCTTTTTGGAGGTTGAGGAAGAGGTTGGTCAGTATTCAGATTTGTCACCTCACCATATTGAACAGGCTGTGTTTTCCATTTCAGATATATAAATTGGAAATCTTACCTGGTTTCTCGGCAGTCCAGACTATCTTGTGTTGAAAAAGGGCTGAATGACCTTTAGGTGTTTGGCCAGACTTCATTTGATTAGTAACACTTGGGGAAACCCATCCATCCATTTTGGATCTGGATTAGAGACCAGAGAGAAGATGGAGAGACAAAGCCCAGCAGATGCAGGTGTTGGAAAAGGCCCTGCAGCTACTCAGCCTTGGAGCTGGGGGAAGAATGGGGCAAATTCTGAGCAGAAGAGCCAAGAAGAGGAAGTCAACAGTTCAGAGATCCAATATTGTCACTTCAGGAAAGGGTACTTCCAGGAGGGGAAGAGTCCCCGAGATGTTTGCAGTCAGCTTCACAGCCTTTGCCGTCAATGGCTGCAGCCAGAAAAACATACAAAGGCTCAGATGCTGGACCTGGTGCTCCTGAAGCAGTTCCTGGCTGTCCTTCCCCCAGAGATGGAGAAATGGGTGCGGGAGTGTGGAGCAGAAACCAGTTCCCAGGCGGTGGCCCTGGCCGAAGGCTTCTTGCTGACCCAGGAGGAAGAAAAGAGGCAAAAAGACTTGCAGGTGTGAGAATGTAATTTCAGTTGTAAAGAGATCTCTCTGAATTTGTGAATTCCTTTTTTACAAAGTTTTCTGGGATTATTACCTCCTATGGCATGTTGTTCCATTTTTCTTCCAGAAAATGTGCTTGGGGCAATTTTTCCATTCTGTTTCGAGTTTCAACAATGGACAGTGGGGTCTGCTGATTTAAAGGTACAGTATGATAATTCATTAATACTCTTTCTTTGTTTATCGTCTCACATCATCTCCAGAAATCCTTGGAAGCTATGACTGAATGTTCTAAGGGGAGGAAAGATTCATTCAGGTCTTTTCAAGAGCTGCTGTTCAGGGAGACTTTACACAAAGATCAAAGTCACAACATCATGCCAGGTAAGAAAAGCTCTTTCTGTGCCATGTAACATTTAGCTGATTCTTTTGCTCCTCTTGATTGGAATCTCTTTCTTTATAACAAATCTGCTTCCACCATTTTTCTCTATCTTACAGAGAGTAGAAAACTGTCCTTGGAAATTTTAGTATCTCCTCCTCTTTGTGGTGGGGCTGAAGGACTGGCTGAACCATTACTTCAGGTAAGGAGGAGAAAGATCAGAAAATGTCCATGAAACCTGGATGGATTTCATTTTGTTCTATTGTAATAAATTGCTGTTTTTAAGCAATATGAATCTGACATCTGGTCATTCAAAACCGATATGCAGCCTTCGCTTTTTTCCTTTTTAAAAACATTTGGGACAACCGTGACCTGGTGACTGAGAATCTCCATATACATATATTATTACAAGTGATCTCATTCTGAATTCTGCAGAAGATGCCTATTTTGTTCACTGGATCTCTTTCTATTCGTGGAAGAAAACTGGAAAATCATTCTTGGGATTATCTGTTAAAAGGAAAACTTGTTTCCTTGGTCAGGTTGTTGTGTCTTTTGAGGATGTGGCTGTGCATTTCTCCAAGGAGGAGTGGTCTCAACTGGACGCTGACCAAAAAGCTCTCCACGGAGAAGTCATGCTGGAGAATTCCAAGAATCTGGCTTCTCTGGGTAAGACTCCCTGTCTTTGCTCAGAAACATAGAAACGTCATGGGGTGGGGGGCTTAGATGTGATTACTAATAAAACATCACTTATTTTTTATATCCTGACTTTATTTTTTGTAAATAAGAATAAAGGCAGTGGACAGACCCAATATTCCTCCCTCCTGCTGTTTTCCCTAGAACAACAACTCTGTGACGTAGGTTGAGCTGAGAGAGACTGGCCCAAAGTCACCCAGCCACCATTCATCCCTAAAGGCTGAACTAGGACTCACTGTTTCTAGCCTGGTGTGTTAACTGTTTCCCCAAACTGAATTTATAGAAGAAGGAAATTTATTGAAAGAAATATTGGAAAACTCCATAGCATTTTACATAAAGGAATTAGTTTTTCTCATGATTTCTGCTCATAAAATACAACATGTCATGCCATTGAAGATATTAGTGAGAATCTGAGGGACAGACTACATATAGATATGATCTTATCTCTTGAGCAAGGTTCTGCCTACCAGGGTTCAGTATTCATATCTGCACCTCGTTACTGGTTCCCCGATGGGCCTGAGTTGCTATAACCAAGACTGGATGATTCCTGAGTGGGATGTCCCTTCTTTGAGATGTCCCCATTTGTGTACCAAGTTTGGCATCAACCTAATTGAGGGTGGGGGCTATTGCCATCCAGAAATTCCCCTTGGCTTTCAAAGATTCTGCTCTAGAGACAAGTGTGGATGAGACTTGCAATGAAGTTGGGGAGCTGGTAAGTAAGTTGTTGACTGAGTATGATACCGTGTCCAATGGACTTCAGGAGTTTGTGGCATCATGGAATAGTCCCAGGTCAAAGCTTGGATCAGGGTTGTGTCTTAACATTCATTGTGATGTGAACCGATCCTGTTAGATGAGGATCGGTAGGGATACACTTGGAAATGGGTCCTTGCTAAAATCTTAGTTTGAATCTTCATGTTTGCCAACAAAGCAGTTAAAATATATTAATGATTCTTTGGCTGAATTTCAGAAGAATAGATTTGATTGTTCCCTTTCTAGCTACATTTCATTTTCATTTTTCTTTTTGAAGGCTTTCATGGGCAAGAAAATAAGAATTGCAAGGAGGACTGCCAAGCCATCCATCTGAAAAAGGAAAAGGGGAAATTTGCAGATCAGATGCAACCAAAGAGTGATGAAACAAAGCAATCACAAAGTGGAATTAAAAAAGGCTTTCCTCGGATCAATTGGCTTCCTAACCGTACAAACATCGATATGGGAGAAATACCATATCAATGCATGGAATCTGGAAAGAGCTTTAATAAATCCAGTCATCTCATTTGTCATAAAAAGACACATTCAGAAGAGAAACCATATCAGTGCATGGAGTGTAGAAAGAGCTTTAGTAGGAAATATTCTCTGATTCACCATAAAACTATCCATACAGAGAAGAAGCCACATCAATGTATGAAGTGCAGAAAAACCTTCTGTTATTATGACTCTCTTATAAGACATCAAAGGAGTCACAAAGGGGAAAGACCTTATAAATGCATGGAGTGTGGAAAGACGTTTACTTATAGCATTAATCTTAATTCCCACAAGAGGATCCACACAGGAGAGAAGCCATATCAATGCACAGAGTGTGGAAAGGCTTTTAGGCAAAGTAGTAATCTTACCTCCCATAAGAAGATCCACACAGGAGAAAAGCCATATCAATGCATGGAGTGTGGAAAGACCTTCTGTTATAATCAATCTCTTATAAAGCATGAAAGGAGTCACAAGGGAGAAATACCTTATAAATGCATGGAGTGTGGAAAGACCTTTACTCGTAGCAGTAGTCTTAATACCCACAAGAAGATCCACACAGGAGAGAAGCCATTTCAATGTGTGGAATGTGGAAAGAGCTTTAAGCGTAATTCTGCTCTTACCTCCCACAAAAGGAGCCATACAGGAGAAAAACCATATCAATGCATGGAGTGTGGAAAGAGTTTTACTCATAACAGGTATCTTAATTCACACAAGAGGATCCACACAGGAGAGAAGCCATATCAGTGCATGGAGTGTGGAAAGGCTTTTAGGCACAATAGTAATCTTTCCTCCCATAAGAAGAGCCACACAGGAGAGAAACCGTATCACTGCATGGAGTGTGGAAAGACCTTTAATCGTACCAGTAATCTTAATTCACACAAGAGGATCCACACAGAAGAGAAGCTGTTTCAATGTGTGGAATGTGGAAAGAGCTTTAAGCGTAATTCTGCTCTTACCTCCCACAAAAGGAGCCATACAGGAGAAAGACCTTATCAATGCATGGAGTGTGGAAAGAGTTTTACTCATAGCAGTCATGTTAATTCACACAAGAGGATCCACACAGGAGAGAAGCCATATCAGTGCATGGAGTGTGGAAAAACCTTCTGTTATTATGAATCTCTTATAAGACATCAAAGGAATCACAAAGGAGAAAGACCATATAAATGCATGGAGTGTGGAAAGACCTTTACTTGTAGCAGTAGTCTTAATTCCCACAATAGGGTCCACACAAGAGAGAAACCATATCAATGCATGGAGTGTGGAAAGACCTTTAATTGTACCAGTCATCTTAATTCTCACAAAAGGATCCACACAGAAGAGAAGCCATATAAATGTGTTGAATGTGGAAAGGGCTTTAAGTGGAATTCTAGTCTTACCTGCCACAAAAGGATCCACACAGGAGAGAAAACATATCAATGTAAGAAGTGTGGAAAGAGTTTTGCTCGTAGGAGTCATCTTAATTCTCACAAGAGGATCCACACAGGTGAGAAGCCATATCAGTGCACGGAGTGTGAAAAGACTTTTCATTGTAGCAGTAATCTGAATTCCCATATATGGATCCATGCAGGAGAAAAACCATATAAATGTGTGCAATGTGGAGAGGGCTTTAAAAATATGTGTGATCTCACTTTCCATGAAAGAATCCATACCGGGTAGAGGGGGGAAACTGGAAACTGTAAGGAGCTGGCCTGTGTCACTTCAGCCCGGCCCATGCCACCCTCGTGTGCATCGATGCGCACAGGGGCCCAGATCACCACCTCCGTCTGCAGGGCAAGAAATGTAATCTGTGGAACTACGTTAAAAAGAATAGTTGAGATCTTCCAACTTCGTGGGATCTTTTTTTTTTTTTTTTTTTTTGTGAGAAGTTGGAACGTCTGAACTAATTTTTTTACCGTAGTCCCACAGACTAGGTTAGCTGCCCTGCAGGCTGCAGTGGTGAACAGAGCTGGAAAGCATGTTAGTGAAGGGATGTGGCTGCCCTGGGGGAATGTGGGAGTGAGGGTTTGGCATGGGTGGCCTGGTTGAAGGGCCCTCAGGTAAGATGGGGCGGGGTGGGTGAGGCAACTCCGTAATCTCTGCCTTGCTTTGTCCTCCACCCACCCACCCCCACTTTTCTTCATTTTTCACCACTTCTCCTTGCTGCCGTAATGGAGCAGGACGTTGAGCAACGCACTGGTGCAGCCACAAAGAGAGGCGGCGGGGAGGTGAGAATGAAGCAAGACGGGTGCAGAGCTGTCCCCCCGCCCCCCCCACAGCTCACACTGGCTTACCTGAGCGCCCCACTGGCCAGGCACTGAAGTGCCACCACTGCTGCTGTAGCAAGACAGAGAGAGAGCAAGAGAACAATCCAATCTAATCTGTGTGTGTGTGTGTGTGTATGAAAGAGAGCATGATCTGTGCCTCAGAAAAGTAACTAACTTATCTCTGTTCTTAAACGCAAAAGCTGTTGCACATAAAAAACAGGAGCTCTCATCAACTATCAGAGCCATAATTTTGACAGTTTTGCTGTACTGTTGTCTGTGGAAGCTCCCACAAATTCAAGCATGGGATCAACAGCCTGGTTTGTTCTCAGTCTTTTAAGTGGCCACAAACTACTAGCAAAAGTAGCATTTGATCAGAAGTCGAGGAGGCATCAAGGAATGTTTCCCCTTTTGCATTTGAGCATCCAAGAAGGGACAGGAAAGACAAAGGAAAAGAAAGAAAGGGGAAGAGAGCAAGGAAGAGGAAAGAGGAGAAGGATGAAGAAAGAAAGGATAATGAAGAGGGAAGGAAAAAGAAAAAAGGGAAGAAGGACGGAAGGAAGGAAGGAGATTATAATGAGAGAGAGAGTGAGGGCCTGAGGTAAATCCTGCCTTAGCTCTTGGGTACCAGCAGCCCTGCTGCCTTTCGCCATCCCCTTGTTCCGTCCTCCAGACCTCTCCTGGTGTTCTCCAATCCTATTGCTGAGGATGCTTTGGTTACAAAGCCAGGTCTCCTTGCAAGGAGAGGGAGTGGGCCTCCCTCTGACTCACACACTTTGCCCTCAAACACACACCATGAGCAACCTGGTCAAGGAGAATGAGCGCAACAGCAGTGGGAGCTGGCCACGCCTACTCCCCCCCCCCCCAAAAAAGTCAACCAGAACCCTGATGCCGCCCTCAATGAAATCGAGTTTGACACCCTTGCCATAGAAGGATCCACACTCAGGAGAAACCATATCAATAAAGGAAATGTGGGAAGAGGTTCAATAGAAATACAGGTTTAGGCCTGCAATTGAGCCCAAAATTCCGATAGCTAAGTGAAACACTTGTTAAGTGAATTGTGCTCCATTTCACAACTTTTTTTCTCACATTTGTTAAGTGAATCATTGCAGTTGTTAAATTAGTAACACTATTGTGAGGTGAATCTGGTTTTTTCAATGATTTTGCTGGTCAGAAGGTTACAAAACGTACATGACTCAGGGCCATTGTAACCATTATAAATAGAGTCAGTTGCCAAACATCTGAAGTTTGAGCTGGTTACCATGAGGATACTGCAGTAGTCGTTAAGTGAGAAAGTTACTTTTTTCAGTGCTGGTGTAACTTTGAACAATCACTAAATGAACTGTTGTAAGTTGAGGACTACATATAGTTGACTAAAATCCCATACAAATACCATTTGAGTAATAAAATAAATACTAGCTTGCATAACTTGCCTTTCTTGTGGAAACCAGAACAAAATCGATCCCTCATCCTGCTTGTGCTTTTTCTAAGATCAAATCATCAATGGTCTTTTCTGCATATAGAAATATTCCTGATTGTTTTTTCATTATATTGTTTGAAATATTCCAAAATATCAAACCCAATTATCATATTCTTCAACAACTCTTTTAGGTAAAAGAAAGAAAACCACAACTTTATTAGAGATTATCTGATACCTCTTGCTGTTGCCTAGTATTTCTGTTCTGGTATTCAGCTAAGTATCTGGACCTAGCTCTTTTTCTGACTGTTCTACCTTTCCATCCCTGCTTGTCTTTTGAAGGCTAGGATGAGAAGTCTGATTCCTGCATCCAGAATGTTGGCTGCTGCTTGCAAAGTCTTGCAGTTTGTGAGTTCCAAATCCCTTCCTTTTAGCAGCTAACATTTGTTTTCATACACAGTACTTAATGAGTCCCATGAATCAGAACCGATTCCACCACTGCCACCAATTTGTCATGGGTTCTTTTTAAACCATGCCTAAATTGATTAACAGAAGCTCAAATGATCCATCAAAAGTATGAATTCTAGACAATTTATATTTTCTATCTCCTATAAGAGTTGTGGAGATGTTTTATTTTGAAAAAAAAAACCAAGATGCAAAAGTGAAACATACAATCCACATGTAAATCCTTCCTGTTTGTCCTCTTATACTAGATATTTAGTATATTGATACTATACGATCTCTAATATACTATTTTATATTACATACTGGTGTACATCTGTACTATATTAATGCTATTTGTACTGCAAGCATATTTTTAACTATTGCTACTATATTTATGGAATGGAATGGAATTCTTTCTTGCCCAAGTGTGATTGGACACACAAAGAATATGTCTCCGGTGCATAAGCTCTCAGTGTACATACAATAAATGTATTCTGTAGCAGTATACAACTATTGTGGCCCGCCAGCAGCCTGCACGGATCATGGCTGATCCCGACGATGAGGAGGCTGATGGGTTGTGCCAGCAGCCGGCGCTCGTGTCAGACAGCCAGGAGGCTGAAGAGGATGTGGTGCCAGAGGCAGAGACTCAGCCAGGGCCTTCAGAACCTCCAGAGGCTCCTTCAAGTGGAGGAGCCTCTCCTCAATGCTCGAGTATGCAGGGCTGCCGAAAGGCAGGAGTGGCTACTCAGGAGGAGGAGGTCTCCTCGAGAGTAAGGTTTGAGGATAATTGGCCACTCCCTTAGCCTATTTAAGTCTTACGCAGTTAGTAATTTCTTGCTGGAAACAATGTGTAATCATTACAGAGCATTTTTGAAGAGTGAATGTCTTATCGTATCTTGTTTTCTGGGCTGGTTGCCAACCTTTGCCGGACTTTGTTTATTCTTGGTACGTTATAACTTTGATAAGGACCGTTGGTGTGTGTCACAATTCTTGGGAATCCGGAGCTAGGGCAGAACAACAACAGTATTTTTATTCTTAGAAACACTGGACTGTAATTCCTTTCTGGGGTTTCCTCTGTTGTTTTTCTTTTTTATTAATGGACAGCAGGTAAAGCACTGGCACCTTACCAATATTGGGCTTTTGCAATGTCACACTTTATGACCACATCACCTAGTAATGGAAGTTCTGATCCAAATTCTATTACTTAACCAAGAACTTCATGTACAGGTGGTCCACAATATATGACCACAATTGAGGCAAGAATTTATGTTGCTAAGTGAGAAATTTGTTAAGTGAGGCTTGCCCCATTTTACCATTCCTCTTGCCAGACTTTTTAAGTGAAGTCACTGTAATTTTGAAATTAGTAACATAGTTGTTACCGTATTTTTCGGAGTATAAGACACACTGGAGTATAAGACACACCTTAGTTTTTGGCGAGGAAACTAGGGGAAAAAAATCTGCCTACCAGGTTTTCATCTGGCTAGTGTCCTTAGTCTGGTCAGTTTCAGCACATTACTTCGCTGGTTTTGAGTGCGCACACGCGCTACGCTTGCACACACGCTATGCTTGCACGTGCCAGGTTGGGGAGAAAAAACAGTTTCTAAAAGCACAGCTGATCTTTGGAAGAGAAAGAATAAGAAAAGCAGGCTAAGCAATTGCTTCACTTGCCAGCGCCTTGTTAGGGCTGACAATAAGCTCCAAAAAAGCTACATTCGGAGTATAAAACGCACCCAAATTTTCAGCCTCTTTTGGGGGGGGAAGTGCGTCTTATACTCTGAAAAATACGGTAAATTAATCTGGCTTCCCCATTGATTTTGCTTTTTAGGTCGCAAAAGTTGATCACATGGCCCTAGGACACTGCAATTGTCATAAATGTGAGTCAGTTGTCAAGCATCCATGTGTAAATCATGTGACCATAATTCAAGTGTGAAAAATGGTCATCAGTCATTTTTTTCAAAGCTGTTGTAACTTCGAATGGTCACTAGACAAATTGTTCTAGGTTGAGGACTACCTGTCTGGGAATTCAACATAATTCAACCAAAAGTAATAGAACAAGATCACATATGTATCAACGTATCATGTGAAAAGAATTTTGGGATGACGAATTCTTCTCACAAAAGAGACCAGAATGAAATGTGAAATCCCTGTTCAAAAACACTTTTTGAAGCATTAGAGCCATAGTGGTGCAGTGGTTAGAATGCAGTATTGCAAGCTAATTCTGCTGACTGCCAGGAGTTTTAATTCTGACCCGCTCAAAGTTGAATGAATCTACCACTCTTCTGAGACCAGTAAAATGAGAACCCAGATTGTTGGAGGCAATTCAATTTAAATAAATTGGGTTTAATTGAAATTAATTGGATTTTAATTAGACTGGAATAAAATTAATTGTGGATATAAATAAAATTAAATATCATTCGTATGGTTGTCCATGAGAATTTTAAAATTCTTTTTAATGAATTAACATTAAACCCACAGAAAAACTTTTGGAAGGATTTGGAAGGGGGAGGAATACTTCAGGTTTTCAGAGACTCGGGCTACTTTGAAGCTATTTATTTAAATATTGCTCACTTATAGTTCTGGATCAAACTGGCGAAAGGGCACCAATTTTGGTTTTGTAGCCATTATATTATGTTTTTCTATTATAGAAGACTGAGAAAAATGGGCTCAAAAGAACCAGGCTTTGGGCAAGAGAGAGGTGTTAATTCTATTCTTTTAAAATAGCTTCTTAGCTCTACTTCCCTGTTACTTTCATTAATGTAGATAAATCTCTTTGTTGTCCTTGCAGTGTCACCTTCAAATGCACACTAATCTCTTCAAACCTTGGGAGTCTTCAACTCTTGGCTGGAAGAAAATTGGTACTTTGTTTGGTCTGGTTGACTGACATTATCTTTCAACATCTTCCTCATATTTCCTGAGCTGTCTTCCCGACTGAAAAACCGAGACGAAGCCATTTTTCTTTTTTACCTCATGGAATTTGAGCTTTATTTGCACTTATCAAGATTTGCCTTCCTGCATTTTGTAATTCCACTTTTCCTCCAGTCACCTATGAAACACCATTCATCTCCATCATGGCACCTTCTTTTGAGGCAAAATTGCTAAAACGTGCATGAGTTTGAGCTTTGTCTCCATTTTGGAACTTGTTTCCTTTTGATGCCTCCTTTTTCAAGCAAGATCGTTTCTTCTGGATTCTTCTCATTTTTGCTGCCATAACTTGCTGTTTTGAACTGCTGTTAACTGCCCAGAGGCATGGATTTGAAAAGGCAGCTGAAATAATGGAAATAAAATAGCAATACAAATCTTAATTTTCCTAAGTCAAGGGTGTCAAACTGTATTTCTTTTTTTTTTAATTGAAAAGTTTTACAGAAAACCCCCCAATATTCCCCCCACCCTTTCATTCCCCTCATCCCACCCTCCCCCCCCAGACTTCCCAGAGCAAAATACAAGGTATTTCAGTTAACAATCATAAGCTAAATTAAACTATCAATCCTTAGACTACTAAATCCCCCCTGAAACCTTAACTCCAGTATAGATAACATAATACTTCTAATACTTAACGTTCATTCATAAGCTATTTGATATTTTCTTGTCTGATACTTATTTTGAATATAATCAATCCATCTTCTCCATTCCAATACGTATCTTTCTTGTGTATAGTCCTTCAAATACGCTGAGATTTTCGCCATTTCTGCTAAGTTCATTACTTTCAGTATCCACTCTTCAGTAGTAGACAAAATGTCCTTCTTCCAGTATTGCGCAACCAACAGCCTAGCTGCTGATATTAAGTTCAAAATCAGTTTAGTCTCTAATGCTGTACAATCCGTCGTTATACCCAATAAAAACAATTGAGTAAATTTCAACCTTTTTTTCAAAATATTCTGCATCACCCACCAAATTTTTATCCAAAATGCCTTGATTTTCTTAAAAGTCCACCATATATGATAATAAGTTGCATCATCACATTCACATCTCCAACATTTAGCTTGCAAATTCGGATACATACATGATAATTTTTTGGGATCTAAGTGCCATCTATAAAACATTTTATAAAAATTCTCTCTCAAATTTTGTGCTTGTGTAAACTTAACATTTCTGACCCAAATCTTTTCCCATGTTTCCATCATCACTGGTTCCTGAAAGTTTTGTGCCCATTTTATCATACAATCCTTAACCAATTCCGTTTCCGAGTCTATTTCCAACAATACATTATACAATCTTTTAATATGCATTTGGCTTTCATCTCTAATCTGTTTTACCAAATTTTCCTCATTTTGCATGACACCAATTTTCTGATCTTCCCTCCATCTAGCTTGAAGTTGACCATACTGAAACCAAGTATAAATTATCCTTCTTCTTTTAATACATCTAAAGATTTCAGTTAGAGCTTACCCCTTTCCATAAAAAGAAGCTCTTTATATGTAATCACCTCTGTTTTTTGTTCTATACTTACATTTTCTATTGCATGTCTAGGATTTGCCCATATGGGTATCTTATAATTTAACTTATATTGATACTTTTTTCAGACCCTCAACAACGCATTTCTGAGTACCGTATTTTCCGGCGTATAAGACTGGGCGTATAAGACGACCCCCGAATTTTCCTGTTAAAATATAGGGTTTGGGCTATACTCGCCGTATAAGACTACCCCTCTTCCAACGCACACCAAATAAAAATTAAAAAACATCAACTGGCTCACCCACAATGTAAAAGCAGCTGTGCTAGACCCAAAATGGCCCCTGCAACAAGCAGGAACCTCACACAGCCACAAAAAGCCCCAAAAAAACAACTTTCACACTTTACACACACAAAATTCCACATACAGCTTTGTGAGATTTTGTGTGTTTGTGTAGTTAGAGTGAAACACTACAAAAACATACTAAATCTCAGAAAGCTGCACAAATATTATTTTATTTTATTTTTATATGAAAGCTAAATTTAAAACTTCCTAAACTTTAAATGGCTAGGTCTAAAAAAGAACAACTAAAAAACCCAATTAACTATTTTTTTTAAAGATCCCAAAGGGGAAAAAAACTTACCCAATAGAACAGGGGTCTCCAACCTTGGCAACTTTAAGACTTGTAGACTTCAACTCCCAGAATTCCTCAGCCAGCTTTGTTTTGCTGGCTGAGGAATTCTGGGAGTTGAAGTCCACAACTCCCTGCCTGCTTGAATGCAGGCAGGGAGTGGCTTGCTGATGGAATGGATTCAGGCAAGCGAAGCAAGGCAAGGCAAGCAGCTAAGGTAAGCAAGCTGGAGGGGGAAAACTTTTTCCCTTCTCCATGGCTCTGGCAATCCCAGTTGAGTTGCCTGATTAGCAGATCGTCAGGGCTATTAATCAGAGCCATCAGAGCCTTTCGGGCTGGTCTGCCTGGTTACAGGAGAACGACACCCGGCGTATAAGATGACCCCCGACTTTTGAGAAGATTTTCATGTGTTAAAAAGTCGTCTTATACGCCGGAAAATATGGTATATGACTCTTAAACACTTTATCCACTTTTTTTCATATAACAGATAAGCATGCCATCCATATAATAAATCATAACCTTCTATATTTAACATTCTCTCTTCAGTTAAATTAAACCAATCACTAATTTGTGATAAAACAGCTGCTTCATAATACAATCTTAAATTAGGCATTTTAAGACCTCCTCTCTCACGTATATCTGTATAATTTTCAGTTTAACTCTTGGTTTCTTCCTGCCCCAAATAAAAGTATTAACCCCTTTCTGCCATTCCCTCAAATTTCCATCTTTCTTAAGCACTGGTATCATTTGAAACAAAAATAAAAACCTAGGTAATACGTTCATTTTTATTACTGCTATCCTTCCCAGTAGAGATAGTTGTAGTTTTTTCCAGTTTTCCATTTCTTTCTGCACTTTTTGCCAAAGAACTTCATAATTGTTTTTAAATTGTTTTTAGTGTTTGAGGCTGCAATATATACTCCTAAATACTTAACCTTTTTAAATATTTCAAACCCCGTTATTCTCCCTAAATCTTTTCTTTGAGATATGGACATATTTTTAGTTATCATCTTTGTCTTGTGTTGATTTACTTTAAATCCAGATACCTTACCATATTGACCTATTATGTCCAACATATGTGTCAAAATGTATTTCATTGAGGGCCGAATCAGCATTGTGGTTGTCCTCCAGGGGTCGGGGGTGTTGGTCACAGCCCACTGGGTATGGCCCAGGGGAAGGGCCAGCATTAGATTGCTCTTGTGGGTGGTGCCTGCGGAAGCGGAGTTGGGGAGGGAATCCAGCAATCTCCAGTGGATGGGCAGGGAGCAGGAGAGTTGTCCTATGGGATCAGGTGAGGCAGGGCAGCTACCGCCAGTGTGCCTTCAGATGCTTTTGGCTCCACATCTTTTCCCACTCTGCCACCAGCCCTGAAGCACACAGCCCCCAGCCCTGGTATAACTCAGGTTGAGTAGATTGCTCCCTCCTCCCCCCCCCCACTCTTACACACACACCGAAGTTGGATTGGATCGCTCTTGCTCTATCGCTCTGTTTCGCTGTGGCAACAATGGTGATACTTCAGTGCCTGGCCAGCAGGGCGCTTCTCACTCAGTCACTTTCCCTCTTTCATCACCCCGCTGCTCCTCCTCCTCCTTCAGACAAGAGCTGTGCTTTTCGTCTGTCCATTGGAACGCAGTGCCCAGGATTTACTTTGATAGCGGCGGGGCTTGGGGGATGGTTAATTCCTGTTCGTTGTGCGGCAAAGGTGGAAGGCAATTCCTCCCATCAGACCAGACCAGCGTGGTGGGCATGGGGTGGGAAACCGGGAAGCACTAAAAGCAGCTATCTCTCTCTCTCTCACACACACACACACACACACACACACACACACACACACAGAGGTTTGATCAGATCGTTCTCTCACTCTCACGAAACCTGATGGCGGCGGAACCAGCCATGTTCTTCATGGCGGCTGACACTTTTTCATCCTCCATCCCACCATCCCCTCACTTCATTTGCCTTCATTCTTCGCCACTTCTCCTTGCTCACTGCTGTAACTCAGGAGGATGAGTGACAAATTGATGCGACGGCCACAAAGTAAGGTGGTGGATCGGTGGAAAACGAAGCAAGGCAGAGAGTGCAGAGCTGCCCCATGCACCGGCTTACCTGAGGGCCCTGCAGCCAGGCCATCAACATCCTGACAATTGCCTGGCCTTGTGGCGGAGATTAAAAAAACCCTTTCCAAGACCCCGCGTGGCCACCAGCCCTCTTCTCTTTACCGCCGCAATGGAGCAAGAGGCTGAGCAACACATGTGGAGTCCTGGACCGGACTGCTGGAGCTGCTGCAAGACGAGGCAGTTGTTAGGATGCTGATGGCCTGATTGCGGGGTGTTTAGGTAAGCCGATGCAGGGCATGGGGGGGCAGCTCTGCATCCCCTGCCTTGCTTCATCCTCCACCCCACTGCCACTCTGTGGCCGTCGCACCAGTGCATTGTTCATCCTCCTGCTCCGTTATGGTAGTGAGCAAGAAGAAGTGGCGAAGAACGAAGACGAAGCAAGGTGATGAGGGGGGTGGAAGACAAAGCAAGGCACAGGGTGCAGAGTTGCACCACCATCCCCGCACCAGCTTACCTGAGGGCTCTTCAGCCAGGCCACCCATGTCAAACCCTCACACCCCCATCCAACCCGAGGGCAGCCACATCCCTTCACTAACCTGCTTTCCAGCTCCGTTCACCTCCGCCACGTGCAGGGAAACAAAAGAAGTCTGGGACTATGGTAAAAAAATAGTTCAGAGCTTCCAACTACTCACGAAAAAGAAAAAGATCTCAAAAAGTTGGAAGATCTGAACTATTCTTTTTACTGTACTCCCACAGACTTCTTTTGTTACCCTGCACGCAACGGTGGAGAACTGGGCCTGTGTGCCATGCACCCATCACCTCCTGTACCAGGATGATGCAGGCCGGCTCCTTAGGTTCAAGGATGGCCACACGCGCCGGATCTGACCTTATTGCGGGCCAGATCCGGCCCCCGAGCCTTGAGTTTGACACCCCTGCCTTCACTTCCCATCCTGTGACTCTGCCAGACCTCTTATCTTCCCTCACTTTAGGGCTGAGTTTGCCAAAAACTACATGATATTACCTGGGCTTCAAAGAGACGCTTGATCCTTTTGATGCTACACAGAGATATTCTCAATATTTACAACATCACAGATCGTTCTTAGACATTTAAAAAAAGGAAGTCTACAAATCGCTGCGTGCAATATCAGAGGGAGCCTTTCCTTCTACTCCAATGACCATCATCCCAGCCCTACGCCATGGCTGGGTCCATCTGGCATTGCATGAAAGATCCACCAGGGGGCTCCCCAGGTAGCTGTTGGAAAGGCAGGGGCAGCGGTCGCCCGCTTCAGGAGGGAACTGAGCATGTGCTCTTTCACCAGGTCCGAGACCCACGTGGGGCATTTTGCAGAGAAGACTGAAAGTGCGTCTGTCCTTTCTACGCTGCCTAATTCTGCTCCCACCCCCACCCCTCCCTTGCTACAAGTCTTAGGCCAAGCCATTCCAGAAGTCCAGGAGGCTCCAAGGAAAACTTGCATGGAGAGAGATCAAAACCTGACTCCGGTGTTCAATAAGTGGGGAGGGACTTTTTCTTCCACGGGCTGGACCGTGCGTGCAGACACGCAAAATTTCATCAAATTCGGAGTCCTGGAAAGTAGGGAACCCATTGTCCCATGTTCCCCTGCCGCCCCTGTGCATACACTGGGCAGACAGGGAAGAAATCAAAAGCTATGGTCCCGCTGCATTGCCTCCAGGAGGAAAATTGGAATCGCCAGAAAAGTCAGAGCCAGCTAAAAGTGAGAAACTTCTTTCCAGGAGATGCCTAAATCCAGAGAGTAGATGGAGACGTGGGTAGCTGGGTCACTGGGTCCCCGGTGGCCCTGAGCTGCTATAACGAAGACTGGATGGTTCCAAAGTGGGATGTTCCTTCTCTGAGATGTGCCCACTTGTGTACCAAGTTTGAGGTAACTGAGGGTGGGGCTATTGCCATCCAGAAATTCCCCTTGGCTTTCAAAGATTCTGCTCTGCAGACAAGTGAGATTTAAATGAAATTGGGGAGTTAGTGGCTATGTGGTTGACCCAGCATGATACCCTGGAACATGATGATGCCCTGCGTGTCCTCTGGCATCGCTCGCAGGATCCTCCAGGGGGCTCCCTCGGTAGCCGTTGGAAGATGCATGGAGTGTGGAAAGACCTTTACTCGTAGCAGTAGTCTTAATACCCACAAGAGGATCCACACAGGAGAGAAGCCTTATCAATGCACGGAGTGTGGAAAGGCTTTTAGGACAATAGTAATCTTACCTCCCATAAGAAGATCCACACAGGAGAGAAACCGTATCAATGCATGGATGGACCTTTAATTGTGGAAAGATCTTTAATTGTACCAGTGATCTTAATTCCCACAAGTGGATTCACATAGAAGAAAAGCCATATCAATGTGTGGAATGTGGAAAGAGCTTTAAGTGTAATTCTGCTCTTACATCCCACAAAGGGAGCCATACAGGAGAAAAACCATATAAATGTAAGGAGTGTGGAAAGAGTTTTACTCATTGCAGTCATCTTAATTCGCACAAGAGGATCCATACAGGAAAGAAGCCATATCAATGCATGGAGTGTGGAAAGACCTTCTGTGATAATCAATCTCTTATAAGACATGAAAGGAGTCACAGACCTTATAAATGCATGGAATATGGAAAGACCTTTACTTGTAGCAGTAGTCTTAATACCCACAAGAAGACCCACACAGGAGGGAACTCATATCAATTCATGGAATGTCGAAAGACCTTTACTCGTAGCACTACTCTTAATTCCCACAAAAGGACCCACACAGGACAGAACTCATCAATGCATGGAATGTGTTAAAACTTTACTCGTAGGACTACTCTTAATTCCCACAAGAGGATCCACACAGGAGAGAAACCATATCAATGTAAGGAGTGTAGAAAGACCTTTACTAGTAGCAGTCGTCTTAACTCCCACAAAAGGATCCACACAGGAGAGAAACCATATCAATGCATGGAGTGTGGAAGGAGCTTTAGTAGTAAATATGCTCTGATTCACCATAAAAGCATCCATACAGAGGAGAAGGCATATCAATGCATGGAGTGCAGCAAAACTTTCTGTTATTATGAATCTCTTATAAAGCATATTACTGTAAGGAGTGTGGAAAGACCTTCTGTTATATTCATTCTCTTATAAGACATCAAAGGAGTCACAAAGGAGAAAGACCTTATAAATGCATGGAGTGTGGAAAGAGTTTTACTCATAGCAGTCATCTAAATTCGCACAAGAGATCCACACAGGAGAGAAACCATATCAATGCATGGAGTGTGGAAAGACATTTACTCGTAGCAGTAGTCTTAATTCCCATATAAGGATCCATGTAGGAGGAAAAACCATATAAATGTGTGCAATGTGGAGAGGGTTTTAAAAATACTTGTGATCTCATTTTCCATGAAATAATCCATACCGGGGGAGGGGGGCCGATGCCTCCCGTGATGAGGTCAGATCCCGCCCATGCAGCCATCCTGGAAACTAAGGAGCTGGCCTGCGTCAATTCAACCCGGCCCATACCATCCTAGTGTGCATGCATACATACAGGGGCCCAGATCGCCACCGCTGTGTGCAGGGCAGCAAAAATAGTATGTGGAACTATGGTAAAAAGAATAGTTGAGATTTTCCAACTTCATGAGATCTTTTTTTTTTTTTTGAGAAGTTGGAACATCTGAACTAATTTTTTTACCGTAGTCCCGCAGACTAGGTTAGCTGCCCTGCATGCCGCAGTGGTGAACAGAGCTGGAAAGCAGGTTAGTGAAGGGATGTGGCTGCCCTGGGGGAATGTGGGGGTGGGAGGGTTTGGCATGGATAGCCTGGTTTAACGGCCCTCAGGTAAGATTGGGCTGGGTCGGTGGGCAGCTCTGCAATCCCTGCCTTGCTTTGTCCCCCACCCACCCCTGCTTTTCTTCGTTCTTTGCCACTTCTCCTTCCTTGCTGTCGTATCAGAGCAGGATATTGAGCAACGCACTGGTGCAGCCACAAAGAGAGGCGGTGGGGAGGTGAGAATGAAGGAAGACGGGTGCAGAGCTGTCCCCCCCCCCCCCCACAGCTCACACTGGCTTACCTGAGCGCCCCGCTGGCCAGGCACTGAAGCGCCACTGCTACTATAGCAAGAAAGAGAGCAAGAGAACAATCTGATCTAATTTCTATTTGTGTGTGTGTATGAAAGAGAGTGAGCGTGATCTGTGCCTCAACTAGGGCACTCAAGCTGGCGAGTGCTACCACAGCGAGACAGAGACAGAGAGCAAGAGGGCAATCTGATCCAACCTGTGTGTGTGTGAGAGAGAGAGAGCAATCTGATCCAACGTCTTGGGTGGCCCGGCTGAAGCATGGTTCACACGCAGCCGCCAGCCCTAGTTTAACTGAGGTTGGATTTGATCCCTCTCCCCCCACCTCTCCCTATCCCTACAGGAGAGCCCTTTTAAGGATTGTGTATATAGAAAAGCAACTAATTTACCTCTGTTCCTTAAACGCAAAAGCTGTTGCACATAAAAAACAGAGGGGCTCTTATCAACTATCAGAGCCATAATTTTGACAGTTTGCTGTACTGTTGTCTGTGGATGCCCCCACGAAATACAAGCATGGGATCAACTGAGCCTGGTTTGTTCTCAGTCTTTTAAGTGGCCACAAACTACTAGCAAAAATGGCATTGATCAGAAGTTGAGGAGGCATCAAGAAATATTTCCCCTTTTGCATTTGAGCATCCAAGAAGGAACAGGAAAGACGAAGAGAAGGAACGGGGAAGAGAGCAAGGAAGAGGAAAAAGGGGAAGGATAAAGAAAGAAAGGATAATGAAGAGGGAAGGAAAAAGAAAAAAAGGGAAGAAAGACGGAAGGAAGGAGATTATAATGAGAGAGTGAGGGTCTGAGATAAATCCTGCCTTAGCTCTTGGCTACCAGCAGCCCTGCTGCCTTTCGCCATCCCCTTGTTCCCTCCTCCAGACCTCTCCTGGTGTTCTCCAATCCTATTGCTGAGGATGCTTTGGTTACAAAGCCAGGTCTCCTTGCAAGGAGAGGGAGTCGGCCTCCCTCTGACTCACACACTTTGCCCTCAAACACACAACATGAGCAACCTGGTCAAGGAGAATGAGCACAACAGCAGTGGGAGCTGGCCACGCCTACTCCCCCCCCCCCCAAAAAAGTCAACCATAACCCTGATGCAGCCCTCAATTTTTTTTTTTTTAATTTGATTTATATGCCGCCCTTCTCCGAAGACTCAGGGCGGCTTACAATGTGCTCAGCAATAGCCTTCATCCTTTTGTATATTTATACAAAGTCAGCTTATTGCCCCCACAACTGGGTCCTCAATGAAATTGAGTTTGACACCCTTGCCATAGAAGGATCCACACTCGGGAGAAACCATATCAATAAAAGAAATGTGGGAAGATGTTCAATAGAAATACAGGTTTAGGCCTGCAATTGAGCCCAAAATTCCGATAGCTAAGTGAAACACTTGTTAAGTGAGTTGTGCTCCATTTCACAACTTTTTGTTAAGTGAATCATTGCAGTTAAATTAGTAACACGATTGTGAGGTGAATCTGGTTTTTTCATTGATGTTGCTGTCAGGTTACAATCACTAAATGAACTGTTGTAAATTGAGGACTACATATAGTTGACTAAAATCCCATACAAATACCATTTGAATAATAAACTAACTTGCCTTTTTTGTGTAATAACTTGCCTTTTTTGTGCAAACCAGAACAAGATCGATCCCTCATTTCAGAATGATAAATTCCTCTCACAAAAGAAACCAGAATGAGAAAGTGAAATCCGTGTTCAAAGACACTTTTTGAAGCATTAGGGCCATGGTGGTGCATTGGTTAGAATGTAGTGTTGCAAGCTTTTTCTGCTGACTGCCAGGAGTTTGATTCTGACCGGCACAAGGTTGATTGAGCCTTCCATTCATCTGAGACCAGTAAAATGGGGAAATATGTTGATTCTGTAAACATTTATGGAGTGTTGTAAAGCACTATGAAGCAGTATATAAGTTTAAGTGCTATATATTGCTATTTTGTCTTTCTATGAGATGATAAGGAAATATCTAAATTCAATTTAAATTGGGATTAGTTGAAATTAATTGGATTTTAATTGGAATGGAATAAAATTAATTTTGGATATAAATAAAATTAAATATCGTTGGTATGGTTGTCAATGAGACTTTTTAAATTCTTTTTAATTAAAGTTAGGAAAACTTTTGGAAGGATTTGGAGGGGGGGAGGAATACTTTAGGTTTTCAGAGACTCGAGCTACTTTGAAGCTGTTTATTCAAATACTGCTTAATTATGGTTCTGGATCAAACTGGTGAAAGGGCACCAATTTTGGTTTTGTAGTCATTGTGTCAATGTTTTCCATTATTATTGGCATCCTTCAGTGTCAAGAGACTGGTATCGTCCTCTGGAAAGAGGTCCTAAAACAGCATCTAGTGTGACTAAAAAGGCCAATTCCAGATTGGCAATCCCCTCCACACTGTCCCCTGCCCAGCCCCAAGATTTCGTTGGTTCTGGGACTGCCTCTTTGCCTCAGCCTGCTGAACAAGTGTCTCTTCGAATTGGAGAAGGCCATGCTGCATCTTTAGCCTCCAAGATGAACGATCGGTGGCCCAAGGCCTTTAGGTTCCTCTTGCAGATACCCTTATATCGCAGCTGTGGTCTCCCTCTGAGGTGCTTTCCCTGTACTGATTCTCCATACAGGAGATCTTTCGGAATCCAACCATCAGCCATTCTCCCGACATGCCCCAGCCAGCATAGACGTCGCTGTTTCAATACTGTATACCATACTAGAAATATACATGTATATTTGTATGCTAGAAATATGTATATACATGTATATTTCTATATACATAACGTGCTGGCATGTATACGTGCTGGCAAGTATACATGCCAGCACGTTCCAAGACTGCACTATTTGGAATTTTGTCCTGCCAGGTAATCAAGCCCACAAGAGCATCAGGAGGGAGCAGACTTAACAACATTTGCTGTTGTGGCTCATCAGCGGCCTGTGCAGCTAGTAGCTGATTCTGACAGCGAGGAGGCTGGTGTGGTACTGCGCCAGCAGCCTGTGCAGCTGGCACTCGAGTCAGACAATGAGGAGGCTGGAGATGTGGTGCCAGACACGGGGATTTAGCCAGAGCCTTCAGAATCTCCAGAAGGTCCCTTAAGTGAAGAGGACGAAGAGGAGGAGCCTCTTCTCGATGCATGGGCTCACAGAGCTGCCAAAAGGCAGGAGTGGCTCTTCAGGAGGAGGTCTCGAGAGTAAGGCTTGGGGCTAATTGGCCACTCCCTTGGCCTATTTAAGGTGAAACGCCGACTGAAGCAATTTGCAGGGAACAACTTTGTTCACATATCTTCGTGTCTTGTCTTGCTTATCTTACCAACTTCCTGCAAATTGCTTCTGGGCATTCTGCCAACCACAGTAAGCTTTCAGTATTATTCTTTGAATTCTTGGTGGCAGTTAAGGCAGTTAATTAACAGCCGTTGTTGTAAAAAACTGGTTTATTTAGTAAACTAAGGTTTGAACGGACTTTCTGTGTGCTGCGTTCTTTGGGGTCCGTAGCTGGGGCAGAACATTTGCAAGGATTCTTTCAAAGCTTGTAAATCCTCCTCTTCCAAACATGTGTCTGCCAGGGGAGGGTTCTAAAAATTTTTACTACCGGTTCTGTGGGTGTGGCTTGGTAATGTGACTGGGTGGGCGTGGCCAACCTTTTTTTTTTCCTTTTACTTTTAAAAGCATTTTTTTTACAACCTTAAGAGGTTGCAGAAAAAAATGCTTTTAAAAGCTTCTGATGATCAGGCTAATCTGCTAGGATCGCCAGAGGCTTTTAAAGGGATTTTTTTTCCTACAACCTCTTCAAAAAATCCCTTTAAAAGCCTCTGAGGATCCAATATGAGTTTCCTGATCGGCAGAAGCTTGAAGAGGTTGCAGAAAAAAAATGCTCTTAGAAGCTTCTGGCGATCAGGCAAATCTGCTGGGATCGGCAGAGGCTTTTTTTCTTTTAAAAGCCTCTGCCGATCCCAGCAGATTTGCCTGATCATCAGAAGCTTCTAAGAGCATTTTTTTTCTGCAACCTCTTCAAGCTTCTGCCGATCAGGAAACTCATATTGGATCGTCAGAGCCATTTAAAAGAAAAAAGCCTCTGCCAATTAGGCAACTCAGCTTGGATCATCAGAGGCTTTTAAACTGATTTTTGGAAGAGGTTGTAGGGAAAAATAATCCCTTTAAAAGCCTTTTTTTGTTTTGTAAAACTCTTTAATAAAAAAAGAGAAGCTTTTAAAAGCATTTTTTCTACAACCTCTGAAGAGGTTGCAGAAAAAATACTTTCAGAAGCCTCTGACAATCCCAGCTGAGCCACACGATCATCAGAAAAAATACTTTTAAAAGTAAAAAAAAACCAAAGCCACTGATGAGGTGAGCAGGGTAAGTGAGCGGCGACTGGGCCGGGGACTGGTTCAGGGGCGTGGCCAGCCAATTTTATTACCAGTTCTCTGAACTACTACATTTTTTTTACTACCGGTTCTTGCGAACCGGGAGCAACCCACCACTGGTGTCTACCACATAAAGACCAGGGGTGTCTGAGGGCCACGCTGGACTATATATTCTATTGTAGAAAACTGGGGCATAAGTTCAGCTAGCTGATTCACTTCAGATATGCCTGCATATGTTGAAGAAAACTGGTTCCTCTGAAAGAAGTTACAAGCCCAAAGCTTGGCTTGTAATCAACTTGACAGAGTGGATTGAGAACAGTTTTGCAGGTTGGTCTACTGCATAAAACAGGCTCATACTGGACAGACGGTAAATCGAACCATTCTTTCAAAGGTGTTAGAAGACAAGCCAATGGAACAACCATTCTGGTGGCCTCCAATCTGCTGGAAGGCCAAACATTCCAACTGAAGCGAACTTCATCACGCTCTTCATTTTGCTGGATAAATTCTAGGTAAGTCGCCATAGAATTGTATTTCTCTCAACAGTTCACAAGACACGGACTCCCCGCTTCAGCGCTTCCTCTTCTCCCTTCTCCTCAAAGACAGCAGTTCCCTCTTCACCGCCTGGACCTGCTTCCACGGCTAAGTCATGCCCACGTCGCTAAGGCATGGGCTTAGCCATGGGCTTTTCCATTATAGAAGACTGAGAAAAATGGGCTCAAAAGAACCAGGCTTTTGGCAAGAGAGAGGTGTTAATTCTAGTCTTTTAAAATCGCTTCTTAGCTCTACTTCCATGTTTTTTTTCTTTCATTAATGTAAATCTCTTTGTACCTGCAATGTCACCTTCAAATCCACTTCAAACTACGGGAGTCTTCAGTTCGTTTGGCTAGAAGAAAATTTGAATGTTGTTTAGCCTTTCATTATTTTTCAACTTCCTACTCATATTTCCTGAGCTGTCTTCCCTACTGAAAAACCGAAATGAAACCATTTTTCTTTTTTTGCCTCATGGAATTTGAGGTTTATTCGTACTTATCAAGATTTGCCTTCCTCCATTTTGTAATTCCACCTTTCCTCCAGTTACCTATGAAACACCATTCTCCCATTCATCTCTCCATCATGGCGCCTTGTTTTGAGGAAAAATTGCTAAAACTTCCATGAGTTTGAGTTTTGTCTCCATTTTGGAACTTGTTTCCTTTTGATGCCCCTTTTTCATCCCATGGGATGAGGTGAGGCAAGGCAGCTACAGCCGGTTTTGGCGCCACTCAGTGTCCTACACCACCCCCGCCACGCTGGTCTAGTCTGCTGGGGGTTCGCCTTCCATTTTCTCCACCGCACCATGAACTGGGATTAACCATCCCCCAATCTAGTCCAATGCCCACCATCCGAGTCCCACATGGAAATGATGATGCCCTCCGTGTCCTCTGGCATCACTCGCAGGATCCTCCAGGGGGCTCCCTCGGTAGCCGTTGGAAGAGCCGGGCAGCGCCCCCTCCTCCTCCCGCTTTCGAAAAAAACTGAGCATGCGCATTGTTCTTACCCCGTCACAAGTGTTCTCCGGGCCCCACCCACCCCTTTTTTTTCACCCCCAGAAAAGGCTGGGACCGCATCTGGCTTTTCTACCGTGTCCGATCCGGCTCCCCTTCGCTGTGAGCCTTGGGCTGAGTTTCTCCAGAAGTCCAAGAGTTTGCAGGGAAATCTTCCACGGATGGAGATCCAGACGTTGTTACTGGAGGCGTGCATGGCAATCTGCAAAACTTCATCAGGTTCGGAGTTATGGGAAAGGGAGATCCCGTGGTCCCATGTTCCCCTCTCCCCCCCCCCCCCCCCCACCCCCCACCCCACAGTCCATGCACGGGCCAGGCAGAAGAGACAGCAAAACTGCGGCTGCTCCTTTTGGGGGGATCGCAGATAGGAAAAATCCAGTCTTGACTCCTGGACAATTTCCTGCAAATTTCTTGCCTTGTTTTCCGAAGGGGATTCCCCCTCCTCCTCTTTCCTAGGCTGAGAGAAGAGCCCTGCCGAAGTCGCTCCTGCTGGCTTTGCATGCAAGGCTGCAACTCCGTGTGCAAGAAATTGGATATAAGGTGTGCAAGGACTGGAACTCGGTTTCCCGGTTTCCAGCCCTTTCACCACTTGGTTCTTCCAGCACATCACAAGATCCTCCACATCATGTTAATGCATGGATGGTTTATTCATTGAGATATTAGTTCTGTATGCCCTAGGACGATGGTTTCTTCATTCTGCCTTCTGGAGTTTGGGCCAGGAGTTTGATGGGGTTCTCATCTCAATTGCTGTTTGTAAACTTAAAGAGATTTAAGATTTCGATTGTGCTGAAGGGACATAATAATAATAGAATAGGTAGAATTAGTGGGACATATTAATAGTATCAGTAGAATTAGCTTAACTGCCCTTTCGCTTCATAAAAACTGTTTTGCTTCTGTCGGTAATAGAATTAAGCACCACTTCTGCTTCTTTTTCTGCACCATCCTGTGCCTGGTGCATGTCTCAAACAAGAAGCGGGGTGGGTCACTGGCGGGGTTCAGACATCGGGCAAATACCTAACCCCCAGCCCCCCTGTAGTCAGTCTTCCTAATAAGATACCCCCTCCTTACAGATATTGCTGGATTTCTTTTTCTTCTTTTTTTTGGAGGAAGTGGAAGAGGTTGCTCAGTATTCAGATTTGTACCTCACCATATTGAACAGGCTGTGTTTTCCATTTCAGATATATAAGTTGGAAATCTTTCCTGGTTCCTCTGCAGTCCAGACTATCTTGTGTTCAAAGAGGGCTGAATAGCCTTTAGGTGTTTGGCCAGACTTCATCTGATTAGTAACAGTTGGGGAGATCCATCCATCCATTTTGGAGCTGGATTAGAAATTAGAGAAAATGGAGGGACAAAGCCCAGCAGATACAGGTATTGGAAAAGGCCCTGCAGCTACTCAGCCTTGGAGCTGTGGGAAGAATGGGGCAAATTCTGGGCAGAAGAGCCAAGAAGAGGAAGCCAACAGTTCAGAGATCCAATATTGTCACTTGAGAAAAGTGCAGTTCCAGGAGGGGAAGAGTCCCCGAGATGTTTGCAGTCAGCTTCACCATCTTTGCCATCAGTGGTTGCAGCCAGAAAAACATACAAAGGCTCAGATGCTGGACCTGGTGCTCCTGGAGCAGTTCCTGGCTGTCCTTCCCCCAGAGATGAAGAAATGGGTGCGGGAGTGTGGAGCAGAGACCACTTCACAGGCGGTGGCCCTGGCCGAAGGCTTCTTGCTCAACCAGGAGGAGGAAAAGAGGCAAAAAGAATTGCAGGTGTGAGAATGTAGTCTTAGCAGTTCTAAAGAGATTCTTAATTTGTGAATTCCTTTTTTGCAATGTTTTCTGGGATTATTAACTCGTATGGCCTGTTGTTCCATTTTTCTTCCAGAAAATGTGTTTGGGGCAATTTTTCCATTCTGTTTCGAATTTCGGCGATGGTTTAAAGGTGCAGTATGATAATTCATTAATACTCTTTCTTTGTTTCTCACCTCACTTCATCTCCAGAAATCCTTGGAAGCTAAGACTGGGTGTTCCAAGGGGAGGAAAGATTTATTCAGATCTTCTCAAGAGCTGTTGTTCAAAGAGACCTTACACAAAGATCAAAGTCAGGACACTGTGCCAGGTAAGAAAAGCTCTTTCTGTGTAATGTAACATTTAGCTGATTCTTTTGCTCCTCTTGATTGGAATCACTCTCTTTATAACAAATCTGCTTCCACCATTTTTCTCTATCTTACAGAGAGTAGAAAACTGTCCTTGGAAATTTTAGAATCTCCTCCTCTTTGTGGTATGGCTGAAGGACTGGCTGAACCATTACTTCAGGTAAGGAAGAGAAAGATAGGAAAATGTCCATGAATCTTAGATGGATTTCATTTTGTTTTAGAATTTATTATAATAAATTGCTGTTTCTAAGCAATATGCAGCCTGGCCTATTTCTCCCTTCTGAAGGGATCCTTTGTGAGATGCTTTCTCCACCTCTCCTGCTTTGCCAGATTGTTGTCAGCATCGGGGCTCTTCCTTCTGTCTACCACGGTTATTCTCACATACCATTACAAAAAAAATATTCTTTTCTGCCTTTTCAAAAGAATCTTTGGGACAACCGTGATCTGGTGACTGAGAATCTCCATAGACATATATTATTACAAGTGATCTCATTCTGAATTCTGCAGAATATGCCTATTTTGTTCACTGGATTTCTCTTGATTGGTGGAAGTAAACTGGCAAATTATTCTTATGATTATCTGTTAAAAGAAAAACTTGTCTCCTTGTTCAGGATGTTGTGTCTTTTGAGGAAGTGGCTGTGCATTTCTCTGAGGAGGAGTGGTCTCAACTGGACGCTGACCAAAAGGCTCTCCATGGAGAAGTCATGCTGGAGAATTCCAGGAATCTCTTTTCTCTGGGTAAGAATCCCTATCTGTGCTGAGCAACATAGAGAAGTTATGGGGTGGGGGCTTAAATATTATTTCTGATAAAAAAGCACTTATTTATTTATATCTAAATAAGCAGACATACCCTGTGATGTGGGTTGAGCTAAGAGAAACTGGCCCAAACTCACCCAGCCAGCATTCCTCTCTTACGCGCACCTACCCTCTGGAATCAGCTCCCCTTGGAGCTTTGGGTGGCCTCTGACCTTCGCTCTTTCCGCCATGACCTTAAAACATGGTTGTTTCGCCAGGCTGGCCTGGACTGAAGGGGTTTAAATGGGAATTTTAGATTCTTTTATCGTTTGAATTTTAATCTGGACTTGGGTTTTTTTTGTTTTTTTTTATTTTGAATTTGTATACCGCCCTTCTCCCTGAGGACTCAGGGCGGTGAACAGCCAAGTAAAAACATCAAGTACAAATATTAAAATACAGTTAAAATATACATATATAAATTTGGCCCCATTAGTTAAAAACAATAAACAAAACACTTAAAAACACTTAAAAAATTAGGCCAGCCCAGCTTGCTGGAAAAGGAAGGTTTTAAGGGCACGGCGGAAGGCACGAGGTCATGGATTCTCCTTATCTCTGGAGGCAATTGATTCCAGAGGGTAGGTGCCCCCACAGAGAAGGCCCTCCCCCTGGGGGTCACCAGCCTGCACTGTTTGGCTGATGGCACCCCGAGGAGGCCCTCTCTGTGGGAGCGCACGGGTCGATGGGAGATCGTCAGTGGCAGCAGGCGGTCTCGAAGATAGCTAGGCCTTATGCCATGGAGCGCTTTAAAGGTGATAACCATTGTTGCTTTATTGCTGTGAGCCACCCTGAGTCCTTGTGGAGAAAGGGCGGCATATAAGTCTGAATAATAATAATAATAATAATAATAATAATAATAATAATAATAATAATGGTAACCTGAACAGTTGAACAGGCTAGCATTAGTTCAGTTATGCTGAACAGTTTCTAGCCTGGTGCCTTAACCATTTGACCAAACTGAATTTATAGAAGAAGGAAATTTATTGAAAGAAAAATTGGAAAAATGCATAGCTTTCCTTTTTAACATAAAGGAATTGGTTTTTTTAATGCTTTCTGCTCATAAAATATAACATTTCATGCCACAGAAGATATTAGCGAGAATCTGAGGGACAGACTACATATAGGGATGATGTTATCTCTTGAGCATGATTCTACCTACCAGGGTTCGGTATTCATACCTGCACCTGGTCACTGGCTGCTATAACCAAGACTGGATGTGTCTTGCATTCATTTTGATGTGATCCAGTCCTGTTTGATGAGGATCAGTAGGGATACATTTGGAAATGGGTCCTTGCTAAAACCTTAGTTTGGAATCTTCGTGTTTGCCAACAAAGAATCCAAAATACATTAATGATTCTTTGGCTAAATTTCAGAAGGAAAGGTTTGGTTGTAATTGTTACCCTTTCTTGCTACAATTCATTTTCATTTTTCTTTTTCAAGGATTTAATGGGCAGGAGAATAAGAATTGCAAGGAGGAATGCCAAGCCATCCTTCTGAAAAAGGAAAAGGGGAAATTTGCAATTCAAATGCAACCAAAAAGTAATGAAACAAAGCAATCACAAAGTGGAATTAAAAAAGGCTTTCCTCAGGTCAGTTGGCTTCCTAACAGTACAAACATTGATACAGGAGAAAGTCAATATCGATGCATGGAATCTGGAAAGAGCTTTAATAAATCCGATCATCTCATTTCTCATAAAAACATGCATTCAGAAGAGAAACCATATACCTGCAGAGAGTGTGGAAAGTCCTTCCGTACGAATGACTCTCTTAGAACTCACAAAATGACTCACAAAGGAGAACTTTATAAATGCATGGAGTGTGGAAAGAACTTTACTCGTAAGAGTAATCTTAATTCCCATAAGAAGATCCACACAGAAGGGAAACCATATCAATGCTTGGAGTGTGGAAAGAGCTTTAGTAGGAAATACGCTCTGATTCACCATAAAACTATCCATACAGAGAAGAAGCCATATCAATGCATGGAGTGCAGAAAAACCTTCTGTTATTATGAATCTCTTATAAGACATCAAAGGAATCACAAAGGAGAAAGACCTTATAAATGCATGGAGTGTGGGAAAAGCTTTACTTCTAGCAGTAGTCTTAATTCCCACAATTTGATCCACACAGGGGAAAAGCCATATCAATGCATGGAGTGTGGAAGGAGCTTTACTTGTAACAGTCAACTTATTTCCCACAAGAGGATCCACACTGGAGAGAAGCCATATCAATGTATGGAATGCAGAAAAACCTTCTGTTACAATCATTCTCTTATAAGACATCAAAGAAGTCACAAAGGAGAAAGACCTTATAAATGCACGGAGTGTGGGAAAAGCTTTACTTGTAGCAGTAGTCTTAATTCCCACAAGAAGATCCATGCAGGAGAGAAGCCATATCAATGCACTGAGTGTGGAAAGACCTTTATTCGTAACAGTTATCTTGAGTCTCACAAGAAGATCCATACAGGAGAGAAGCCACATGAATGCATGGAGTGCAAAAAAACCTTCTGTTATTATGAATCTCTTATAAGACATCAAAAAATCCACTCAGGAGTGAAACCATATCACTGTAAGGAGTGCGGAATGAGCTTTACTCATAGCAGCCATCTTAATTCTCACAAAAGGATCCACACAGAAGAGAAGCCATATAAATGTGTGGAATGTGGAATGGGTTTTAAGTGGAATTCTAGTCTTACCTCCCACAAAAAGATCCACACAGGAGAGAAACCATATCAATGTAAGGAGTGTGGAAAGAGTTTTGCTCGTAGGAGTCATCTTAATTCTCACAAGAGGGTCCACACAGGTGAGAAGCCATATCAGTGCATGGAGTGTGAAAAGACTTTTCATTGTAGCAGTAATCTGAATTCCCGTATAAGGATCCATGCAGGAGAAAAACCATATAAATGTGTGCAATGTGGAGAGGGCTTTAAAAATATGTGTGATCTCACTTTCCATGAAAGAATCCATACCGTGGAGAGGGGGGGAAACTGGAAACTGTAAGGAGCTGGCCCGTGTCACTTCAGCCCGGCCCATGCCACCCTCGTGTGCGTGCATGCGCACAGGGGCCCAGATCACGACCACCGTCTGCAGGGCAACAAAAGTAGTCTGTGGAACTACGTTAAAAAGAATAGTTGAGATCTTCCAACTTCGTGGGATTTATTTATTTATTTATTTATTTATTTTTGTGAGAAGTTGGAGCATCTGAACTAATTTTTTTACTATAGTCCCACAGACTAGGTTAGCTCCCCTGCATGCTGCAGTGGTGAACAGAGCTGGGAAGCATGTTAGTGAAGGTATGTGGCTGTCCTGGGGGAATGTGAGGGATGAGGGTTTGGCATGGGTGGCCTGGTTGAAGGGCCCTCAGGTAAGATGGGGGGGGGGGGGGGGGGCAGCTCCGCAATCCCTGCCTTGCTTCATCCTCCCACCCACGCCTTTCTTTGTTCTTCGCCATTTCTTCTTGCTTGCTGCCATAACAGAGCTGGACATTGAGCAGGGCACTGGTAGGGCGGCCACAAAAAGAGGTGGTGGGGAGGTGTAGGGTGAAGCAAGACCCCCATAGCCCACACTGGCTTACCTGAGCTGCCACCCCGCCAGCCAGGCACTGAAGTGCCGCCACTGCCACTGTAGCAAGATAGAGAGCAAGAAAACAATCCGATCCAACCTCTGTGTGTGTCTGTGTGTTTTCAGAGGCTTTCAGAGACTCAGGCTAGTTTGAAGCTATTTATTTAAATACTGGTCAGTTATGGTTCTGGATCAAACTGGTGAAAGGGCACCAATTTTGCTTTGTAGCCATTATGTCAATTTTTTCCATTATAGAAGACTGAAAAAAATGGGCTCAAAAGAACCAGGCTCTGGGCAAGAGAGAGGTGTTAATTCTATTCTTTTAAAATAGCTTCTTAGCTCTACTTCCCTGTTTTTTTCTTTCATTAATGAAGATAAATCTCTTTGTTGTTCTTGCAGTGTCACATTCAAATCCACAGTAATCTCTTCAAACCATGGGAGTCTTCAGTTCGTTTGGCTAGAAGAAAATTTGAATGTTGTTTAGTCCGGATGAGTTACATTCTTTCAACTTCCTATTCATAATTCCTGAGCTGTCTTCCCAACTGAAAAACTGAAACGAAGCTATTTTTCTTTTTTGCCTCATGGAATTTGATCTTTATGTGTATTTCCCAAGATTTGCCTTCCTGCATTTTGTAATTCCACCTTTCCTCCAGTCACCTATGAGACACCATTCTCCCATTCATCTCTCCATCATGGCACCTTGTTTTGAGGTAAAATTTCTAAAACTTCTTCTCATTTTTGCTGCCGGCACTTGCTGTTTTGAACTTCTGTTAGCTGCCCAGTGGCATGAATTTGAAAAGGCAGCTGAAATAATGGAAATAAAACATCAATACAAATCTTAGTTTTCCTAAGTCAAGGGTGTCAAACTGTATTTCATTGAGGGCCGGATCAGCATTGTGGTTGTCCTGAGGTGGGTGGGTAACGTCCTGGGGTGGTTGACAGGGCTGGGGCGTGCCCACCATGACATCACTCGTGGGTGGTGCCTTTGGGGTTGGGCAAGGAATCCAGGAGTCTCTGGTGGGTGAGGCAGGGAGCAGGAGTCTCGTCCCACGGGATGAGGTGAATCAGGGTAGCTACAGCCAGTGTGCCTTCAGCTGCTTTTGGTGCCACTTAGTTTCCCACCCCACCACCGCCAGGCTGGTCTGGTCTGGTCTGGTCTGGTGGGGGGATTATCTTCTGCAGAGACCAGTTATTAACCATCCCCCCAAGCCGCGCCACCAGCCCTGAAGCACACAGCCGCCAGCCATAGTATAACTCTCCGAGGTTGGATACAATCTCTCTTCCTCTCCCCTCCCGCTCATACACATACACACACACAGGTTTGATCAGATCATTCTGTCGCGCTCTCACCCCACCTCAGCGGCGGCACCAGCCATGCTCTCCACAGCAGCTGGCACTGCTTCATCCTCCATCCCCCCATCACCTCACTTTGTTCATCTTCATTCTTCGTCACTTCTCCTTACTCACCACCGTAATGGAGCAGGAGGATGACGCACTGGTGCGGCGACCACAAAGCAAGGCGATTGGTGAGTGGAAGACAAAACCAGGCGGTGGAGGTGGTGGGAAATGAAGCAAGGCTGTGAGTTTGAAGCTTCCTCAAGCACCAGCTTACCTGAGGGCCCTACAGCCAGGCCATTAACGTCCTTAAAACTGCCTAGCCTTATGGTGGTGGCTCCACAAACCCCATCCAAGACCCTGCTTGGCCACCAGCCTGCTTCTCATTGCTCACTGCTGCAATGGATCAAGAGGCTGAGTGACAAATGTGGGGTTCGGGATGAGGCTGTTGGAGCTGCCGGAAGACAAGGCAGTTGTCAGGATGTTGATGGCCTGGTTGCGGGGCACTCAGGTAAGCCGGTGCAGGGCTTGGGGGGCAACCCCCGCCTTCCATCCTCCACCACACTATCTCACTGTGGCCAATGCACCAGTGCATTGCTCAGCCTCCTGCTCTGTTACATTGGCAATCAGGACTTATTTAGTGGCGATATGGGCGGCAAAATGCTCGCATTTTTCTGCACTTATTGCATCCGCTGATTCGCGCCCAGCCACCCTATTTAGGGTGACTCGCTCCCTCCTTAATGTAGGGGGAGTGGAGGAGCCCTTGCAGGGTAGAGCTGAGGAGCTTGTGCAGTTTCTGTCGGATAAAGTCGCTCAGATTCGGATGGACCTGGACTCTGATTGGGCAAGTCCGACCGAGTTGACGGGGGCAGGTCTTAGTCCCATTGTGTGGGATGAGTTTGAGCCTGTGACTCCTGAGGAAGTGGACAAGACTGTAGGAGCGATGAGTTCCTCCACCTGTTTGTTGGACCCGTGCCCCTCCTGGCTGGTTTTGGCCAGCAGGGAGGTGACACGAGGCTGGCTCCAGGCTTTAGTTAACACGTCCTTGAGGCAAGGGGCCTTCCTGCAACCATTAAAGGAAGGGGTTGTAAGGCCCCTCCTCAAGAAGCCTTCCCTGGATCCAGCAGAAGTAAAGAACTTTCATCCAGTCTCCAACCTACCCTTTGTGGGAAAGGTTGTAGAGGAAGTGGTGGCACTTCAGCTCCTGCGGTCATTGGAGGAAACGGATTATCTAGACCAGTGGCTCTCAACCTTCCTAATGCTGTGACCCTTTAATACAGTTCCTCATGTGGTGGTGACCCCCAACAATAAAATTATTCCTAAAACCATTGAAAATATGTGTTTTCCGATGGTCTTAGGCAACCCCTGTGAAAGGGTCATTCGACCCCCAAAGGGGTCCTGACCCACAGGTTGAGAACCACTGATCTAGCTGGCTTCAGTCTGGCTTCAGGCCTGGCTACAGCACGGAAATTGCCTTGGTCACACTGATGGATGATCTCTGGCGAGCCTGAGATGGGGGTCATTCCTCCATCTTGGTGCTACTTGACCTCTCAGCGGCTTTCAATATCATTGACCATGGTATCCTTCTGGGGCGACTAAGGGAGCTGGGAGTGGGAGGCACCGTGTTATGGTGGTTCTCCTCCTATCTCTGGTCGGCCGCAGTTGGTGTTGGTAGGAGGACAGATGTTGACCCCTAGGCCCCTCGTTTGCGGGGTGCCTCAGGGCTTGTTCCTCTCTCCCCTCCTATTTAACATCTACATGAAGCCACTGGGTGAGATCATCCGACGACACAGGATGAGATATCAGCAATACGCGGATGATACCCAGCTGTATACCTCTACCCCGCGTCAATTCAGTGATGCGGTGGATGTGATGTGCCGGTGCCTGGAGGCTGTGAGGGTCTGGATGGGAGTCAACAGGCTCAGACTTAACCCAGACAAGACCGAGTGGCTGTGGGTATTGCCTCCTAAAGACTATGTCAATTGTCCATCCTTGGTTCTGGGGGCGGGGGGAGAAATTGTCCCCCTCAGAACAGGCTCGCAATTTGGGTGTCCTCCTAGATTCACAGCTAAGATTAGAGCAACATCTGACTGCTGTGGCTAGGGGGACCTTTGCACAGGTTCGCCTGGTGCACCAATTGCGATCCTACTTGGATCGGGAGGCACTCCTCATGGTCACTCATGCCCTTGTCACCTCACAGTTAGATTATTGCAACGCGCTCTACATGGGACTACCCTTGAAAAGTCTTTGGAGACTACAGTTGGTGCAGAACGCAGCCGCGCGAGCTGTCGTGGCTGCACCTAGGTACACCCACATTACACCAATTCTCCATGAGCTGCACTGGCTCCCTATTGGTCTCCGGTCACAATTCAAGGTGTTGGTTATTACCTTTAAAGCCCTACATGGCTCAGGGCCAGGTTATCTTCGAGACCGCCTTCTGCCACATAGCTCCCAGCGACCGGTAAGATCCCACAGAGTTAGTCTCCTCCGGGTCCCGTCAGCTAAACAATGTCAGCTGGCGGGCCCGTGGGGAAGGGCCTTCTCTGTCACTGCCCCAGCTCTCTGGAACCAATTACCCCCTGAAGTCCAGACTACCCCCACCTTATTGGCCTTCCGGAAAGCGGTGAAGACCTGGCTTTTCCAGCAGGCCTGGGGCCTTGATCTCGCTCTTGTGATCTGGCGAGAGCCAACCATGAATGGTGTGAATGAGTTTTTAATGTTTTTAATTTTTCAATGTCTTTTTATAATGATTTTTTAAATGTGATGTGAGCCGCCCTGACTCTTCGGAGAGGGGCGGCATATAAATTTAATTAATTAAATTAAATTAAATTAAATCAAGGAGAAGAAGTGGCAAAGAATGAAGATGAATGAAACAAGGCGTTGGGGGGTGGAAGATGAAGTAAGGCAGAAGGAACAGAACTCCATCCGCCCTGCCCCAATTTACCTGAGGGCTGTTCAGCCCGGCCACTTATGCCAAACCGTCACCCCTGATTTTGCCATCAACCACATGACACAACCTAGGCTTCAAAGAGAGGCTCCTGTTCCTCTTGAGCCTCCACAGAGATTTTCTCAATATCACAGATTGTTCTTAGACATTTACAAAAGAAAGGAAAGTCTAGAAATTGCTGCCTGCTGCAGACAGGCAATGTCAGAGGGAGCCTTTCATTCTGCTCTACCGTATACTTAGTAATACCATCATTTAAATTCTAATTTTCCCTCTTATTATTCTTATTATATAAAAATGTGTATTTTATTAATCCTCCCCTCTCTAGTTTCCATCCCTATTCTAACTTTGATTATGCCACTACTGTATTTAAACATATTCCCTTTTTAACCATCATCTCTTACCCACTTTAAAGCTTTCATTGTTCGTTTCTTAGCTTGCCTTCCCTATTCCTCTCTTGGATTTTTATTTCTGTCTGCTTCCATATCTTGGCACATCTTGATTGATTTACCATTAAATCGATATAGAAAGCCACTCATCTCAATTACTGATTGTGACCTGACACTATTACGTTCTGAATTGTATAGAGGTTGTTTTCAATGTTGCAAGCAGCCATCAAAATTATGTGCTTTGTAAAAGTGTAAAAAATGATCATAAGTCACTTTTTTCAGTGACGTTGTAACTTCAAATGGTCACCAGATGAACTTTTCTAATTTGACGACTACCTCTCTGGGAATTTGACATAATTCAAGCAAGAGCAATAGAACAAAATTACATATATATATCAATGTATCACATGAAAAGAGTTTCAAGATGACAAGTTCCTCTCACAAAAGAAGCGAGCGTGAGAAGTGAAATCACACTTTTTGAAGCATTAGAGCCATGGTGGTGCAGTGGTTCGAATGCAGTATTGCAAGCTATTTCTGCTGACTGCCAGGAGTTCGATTTTGACTGGCTCAAGGTTGATTAAATCATTCTTCTAAGACCAGTAAAATGGGGGCCCAGATTGTTGGAGGCAATATGCCAATTCTGTAAACCGTTTATGGAGTGTTGTAAAGCACTATTAAACAGTATATAAGTTTAAGTGCTATACTGTATATTGCTATTTTGTCTATGACATGATAAGGAAATCCCTAAATTCAATTTAAATAAATTGGATTTAATTGAAGTTAATTGGATTTTAATTATAATGTAACAACAACTTTGGATATAAAGAAAATTAAATATCATGGGTATGGTTATTCTTAAGACAATTTTAAATTCTTTCTAGTGTATTAAAAATTAAACCCACAGGAAAACTTGTGGAAGGATTTGTGAATGGGATGAATACTTCACGTTTTCAGAGACTCAGGCTAGTTTATTCAAAAAATGGTCATTTATGGTTCTGGATCAAACTGGTGAAAGGGCACCAATTTTGGTTTTGTAGCCATTATGTCAGTTTTTTCTATCTTTTTTCAGTCTACAGATGACTGATAAAAGTGGGCTCAAAAGAAGCAGGCTTTTGGCAAGAGAGAGATGTTAGTTCCATTCTTTTTAAATTGCTTTTTAACTCTACTTCCCAGTTTCTTTCTT